GCAGGACGCAACGCTAAGGAGGGCTCTAATGGGACTGTATCAGAGGGGGATGCATTTCCTCTGTTATCACAGAATCATCTAGGCTGGAAGATCACCGAGTCCAATCTCTGACCTAACAAGTCCTCCACTAAACCCTATCACTAAGCTCTACATCTAAATGTCTTTTAAGGACCTCCAGGGACGGTGACTCCACCACTTCCCTGGGCAGCCTATTAGGCCAGGCTCTTTCTTAGCTTATGTCCCAAAGTTGTAGAAATCGCTCAATTCTGTAACTGCAGCTCTCCTCCCACACTTCAAGAAATACTTCCTAGTATTTCTGAATCCTGCTAAGCTTTCTGTCCCACTCCTGTTTCTCGACACTTGGTTACGCAAATCAATTGGATACACAGTTACTGCTCCACCTCAGTTTAAGTCCATTGCTTTTAAAATTCCATGAAGTGATCATACGGCCTTGCAGTAGAAGATTATCTACATGTAATACCCAGTTTATCTTGTTAAATCATTTTTTTCCTTAAACGCCATTATGCCCAATTACAACGCCGAGAACTGCCCCTGGATGCAACTCTCGGCCTCCTCCAGCTGCTGCACAAGGCCTGACACCCGCCTGTTCCGCACAGCAACGCGAGGCGCTTTCCCTGCTGCCCACGAGATCGGCAACAGCAGCAGCGCGATCGCCAGCCCGGCATTTCCTCAACCGCAGCTGCAGGAACGCAACGAAGGCGCTGGGCACACAAAGAGGCCGGCGAGGCGCGGACACAACACGCCACGAACCATCCCGGGCCGCCATTCCCCTCCGGGGGGGGCGGGGAGGCTCGGTCTCTGCCCTGCCCTGCCCTGCCCGGCGCCCCCGTGCCCCCGGCCTCACCACCACCTCCTCGAAGATGCTCTGCAGCTGCGTCTCCATGGGCGCCATGGGCAGCGCCATGGCCCCGCCGCCCCCGCGGGCCCGCCGCAGCCCCCGCCGGAAGGTCCCGGCCGCTGCCGGCCCCCCCCGCTCCGGGAAGCGGCTGCGCGGCTCCGGCGTTCCGCCGCCTCTGCGTTCCGGGCGGGGAGGGAGGCAAGGAGGGAGGGAAGGGAAGGGAGGGGTTGCCTTTATTTTAAACCTAATCTAAGTTTATAACTAGGGTTCTGCGCCACGCAGTTTGCCCCAAATGCCACACCCAATGTTGAGTTTTAAAAGTGGATCATAAGGTAGTCTTGAGCTCCCAAATAGGTCCCAACAGTGATTTATCTCATACGTGGTGCCTTTCCTGCTGTGGATTCGCACAGCAAGGTCTAGCAGAGGATGGCTGCCAGGGGTGGCCCCTGGGAGCAGAGCCCAGCCAGCTCCAAAAGGGACCCGCTGCTGGCTCTCTGCTGAGCCAGAGAGCGATGTTGGATGGGCCTCTGGGAGAGCAGACTGAAGGAAGGGAGAAAATATAATAATAATAACTGCTGCACAACAGCAGCTGGGAGAGAGGACTGGGAACCAGCCCTGCAGACCCCCAGGTCCACGCAGCAGGAGGTGCTCCAGGCAAGCAGCAGCAGTTCCCCTGCAGCCTGTGGAGAGGCCCCTGGTGGAGCAGGCTGTCCCCCTGCAGCCCATGGGTCCCACATGGAGCAGATCTCCACGCTGCAGCCCGTGGAGAGGAACCCACACAGGAGCAGGGGGTCTGGGGGGAGCTGCCGCCCAGCCGTGGGGGACCCGTGCTGGAGCAGTTTGCTCCTGGGGGATGGACCCCGTGGTACGGAGCCGTGTGGGAGCAGTGCTTGAAGAGCTGCTGCCTGTGGGCAGCCCCCGCAGGCTCAGTTCAGGAAGGACGGCATCCATGGGAGGGACCCCATGGGGAGCAGGGGCAGAGAGTGACCAGTGAGGGAGCAGCAGAGATGAAGTGCCATAGACGGGAGCCCCCATTCTCCTGTGCCACTTGAGGGGAGGAGGTGGAAGAGGGTGGATGGGGGGAAGATCTTTGGAGCTTGCTTTAGTGTCTTACTGCTCTACTCTGTTAACAATAATCAGCAAAGGATATTAATCTCCCACACTGAGTCTGTTTTACCTGTGATAGTAATTGGTTAGTGATTTCCCTGTCTTTATCTCAGCCCCATTTTTTTATATCATATTTTCCGCCCATGTTGTATTGAGGAAAGGGAGCAGGAGGACCATGTGGTGGAGTTTAGCTGACCATCAATGTGAAACCACCATATTTGTCTAACCAGATCTAATTTTAATAAAAGTGAACTACATATGAGCTTACCTATAGCAGAGAACCTGGTCCCTGAGGTAGAGCTGAGGTCCAAGTCAGGGCCATTACACAGGCAAATCAGGTCTAAGTAAAGGTCGTTGTGCCTTCTGTAAGGGACCCGAGTGTCAAAGAGGAAGAACAGTACAAGTCTTAAGGGCTGGGATTGCACCTAGTTGTCTCTGCCAAGGAATGAGGCCATGGCAGATTCCATGTGTTTAGTAAAAAGGAGCTGTAAGCCTGACCAAACAAGGAAGGAAAGAAACGTTTGCATGAGAAAGAAATGACCCGGAAATTCCAGTGACAGAAAAGGAAATGCACCTTACAAAATGACTTTAAATATATAAAAGAGCAAGCAAACATTTTGACAAGCAACACTATATATGAGAAACAGTCTGCAACCAATAACATAGGTTCGGGTGAGGATCTCAGTGAAGCAGCATTTTTGTTCACGATTGCAATAGCAGGCATCCTGCAAGCAGGAGCCCACAGCAGAAGTGTATCATAACCTTATATCCCCTATTACCCAACACTTGATTCCTCCACTGTTTCCTCACTGGCTGAGTACTACAGCTTCACAACCTACTTGATGCTTGTTACTACACCATATACGTACAATTTTATTTGACCAACCTGTAATTTCTCATTTTTCCCCTTTTTTCTTCTTCTCTCATTACTGGAGGGGCCCAGGATCTTTTGTTTGTTTGTTTGTTTTGATTTTGCTGATTCCACAACTGCTTGTCTTGTTTTTTTTTTTTGTAGCCATCCTTATTTTGGGGCAGTGGGACCTTCCACTGTTCCCTTATCTGCCTAACGTACCCCTCACTGATGTGCCTGCGCAATCACTTTTGAATATGCAAGGTTAGTGGTATTTTCTATTGCAAAAACACAGCTTTAATTCTCACAATTGTTATACAAGGACAGCAAACAAGTTCTATCTTCTTGTTTTGCTCTGCTTGTGCATACAGCTTTACTTTACCTATTAAACTGACTCTAGCTCAGCCCCTGAGTTTTCTCTTTCTTCTACCCCTAGAGTTTTCTCCTCCATCCCTCTGGGAGGGAGGGACCGAGTGGCTGGGTGGGGCTTGGCTGCCTACAGGGGTTAACCCACCAGAGTGCTTTTTGGCACCCAACGTGGGGCCAGTGGCGCTCAAGACAACAACAGATTTGATTTATAAGCTGCCAGATTTATAGCTGGTCCACTGTTTAGCTATTCATTGGCAGGTTTCTGTGCATGCCACAGGTCTTGCTTGCTTCTTTGTATTAGAGTCTAGTGCTTGCTAGCGGCTGCTATTTGCTGCACTTAGCATCATGTTTTGCTGTGCTTGGGAACATTTTGATAACAGCAAAGGCCACATCCCTGGACTGGCAAATTGCCAGGGCTTTGCTGTTTTTTCCTGTGCTGCTGACTGGACAGGCTGCAATTGCAGCGTCTCAAGTCAGAGGGACTTGTGCCTTCCAAGTACGTCCACACTGCAACACTACCTCTACAGGAATTGCAACCCTTGGTTAGGAGCAGGGGTGAGGGTGAGGAGTCCATTGCAAGGTTAAGTCTGATAGTCTGGTCCAAAGGGACGAAGGGTGAAGACTGGTATGGATAGACCCTTAAGTTGTAACCCATGATTTGAGTTGCGTGTTGTAGGAAGTACTGCAGCAGGAACCACTCAAACCGATGAAGAATGAGCTTCCCAAAAAGCCACGCAAGCGCAGCAGTGACCCTACCTGAGCTGGCTTTGGCACCCAGTAACGTCACACTACCTCTCCTCTCCTGTGACCACCATAACAGATGGAACCCAAGTCATGAAGATTATGTCCATGGACATTTCAGGAACATTTTACAAAGGTGAACCTCAGACTAAGAGAATGATATCTGTGTATATATCAAAGGATGGGCAGGGATGTGGTGGTTAAATGAGGAAGTATTATATAGTGTGGGACATAAGCATAATGTAAATGGCATATAATAAGGTGTGGAGACCGTGTTGGTTTGGGCTGGCTGGGATGGAGCTAATTTTCTTCATACCCACTCATATGGTTCTAGGTTTTGAATTTGTTTTTTTATAATAAATGTTATAAATTTATTTTAAATTATGACTCATGTGGTACTCAACTTTAGAATTGGATAAGCATTTGAGTAGTTACAATTGGTAATGATTCAAGAATCCTGGTTCTCAATCCAGGCTATGAAGGCTATATATTTCCATAACAAACAGCCCTCCCATTAACCACCAAATTGAATGAGGAATACATTTCAAACTGTATTTAATTTTTATTTCTATTGAATTTGATTTGGCTGTATACCATTTGTCTTTAATGAATGCATCTACCACTACTGGAAAAAAAAAAAAAAAGTGTAGCAGACTGAAAGAAGTCTATGACAAAAATGGATTGAAATTAAATGGGAGGAATCCTCTGGTGCTAAATAAGGGAAGGGAACTCAAAACATAGATGTAACACAGAGCAGAAGGTAATCATCTACTTAGGTACTGGTTTTGTATAAGGTATTTAACAGAATCACAAATACTTTCTTAGAAGTAAAGAAATACTCTGTATGACAGGCAAATAGTTGAGTAGTCAAATTTGTGTAGTTTTTGCAAGTTATTGCTTAGCAACATATTATTCCTAATCTGCAGTTTATCTAATGCCATCTTTATCTTGAAATGTGGCAGAACAGTTCTCTCTACATGAGAGAACTTTTCAGCCTTTGACCTTGCTGAGTAGTTTTCCTGCTTACTTTGGCTTCCTGCAAACCTATCACCAATGTAAAAGCTAAAACCTCATTTAAAACCTTTGAGCAAAGTACACACACACACTTGAAGCAAAAGCAGCCTCTTAGCTGCAGCTAAGCCAGCTGGGGAGCCAAAGGAGCACAGCATACACACAGCTGAGAGGCAGACCTCAGCAAAATGAATCGTCACGATGAACTAGACATGCATGAAGGCAGACATTTGGATGACATGTTACAACCATCACAGTATGTGAAGAAAAAAACACTCCAGAAATACAAGATAATCTGTGCTGTAAGTAGGCACTGTTCTTCAGGGCTGCTACTCTTTTTTTTTCCTTTCAGAACTGTAGAAACTTTACAATTTTCAAATCTGTAGGCTTTTTACTACTTTTGTTGTATTAATGTAATGATTCAAGGTAGCTTGGTAATTGATGCCTAAAGTTCTATAGCACTAAGGCACTAATTTCTCTGGCAGATTTCTAAAGTTCTTGTGGTACTTATCCAGCAGTTTAACACTGTCAAATATATATATATATATATATGCATATACGTTTATATATATATTTCCTGGCAAGTAATTAGACTTTTTCTTTTGCTATGATAAACTGACAGATCTTTTGCACAGCAAAGACAGTGCTTCAGTATGTTATTTTATTAATTTGTTTGTGGCCAATGTATCCCCTGTTCCTTTTTGCTTATTCTTTTGTGTCTTTGGATTTGTCATTAATAAAAGGAGTATGTAGGCAATGCATTGATGAAAAACAAGGTATAGGAAAAGATGAATGAACCATTTCATCCCGTATTGTCATTCTCACGTCTCAAATACCGTGTCAACTCTTTCCTTCTTCCCCAGGGCTTTAAGAGTCATTCAGCTACCTTGTAGATAAGAATGTTGTTTGTTTTTTTTTTTTGTCCCTCTACATTTTTGAAATCTTTTGTTAGAACTGATACACATTTTAGGTTTCTGTTTCTGACCATAAATGAAACAAATATTAAAGTTGTATACATATTTATACATACATGTACATATGTGTGTATGTGTGTGTTTATACAAGCTCTTGCATCTAGAATTGGAATTTAATGAAAATGACAGGATAACAGGTACTGATTTTCAAAAGACTAAAAACTTAATTTTGAAACCAGCTCTATGAAAAAGAGAGGCAGGTTGTGATATTCTTCAGCGTTATGTCATCAGAACAATTTCACATAATGCAAGTTCCTATTTAATGCTGCATTATGAAAGTATTGCATAAAATATAGGAGAAATATTGGAAATGGAGAAAAAAAAAAAAGAGAAGTGAAAATAACAGACATTCCTTAAGTCATCAGTAAAAATAATTTAATCGAGAAAGAGTGTAAGAAGAATGCTTAATCAGGAAGGAAAGTAAACAGTACTTTCCAAAGGTACTTAGAAGAGTAAACTGAGAAGTTTAAATATCATAAAACATTCATTTTTCCAAATGCAATGGTTTTCAAATGCTTGCCTTTATAAGAAACAAAATCTCAGTATTGGAGGTGTCAGCTGTTAATATTCTACACCACTGATTTTTGCTTTTGAGAAACTATATGAAACTACTACTACTTCCCTGGTAAATTTTTCCTGAAAGATCAGGTGGAGAACTGTGTACTCAGTGAGTAGTAACACTACCTAGAAGGTCCACACTATCAGAGGAGAGTCAGAGAATATGCATTAGGGACAACTGTTTCATGAATAAGAAGTCCTAGTCATGAATTTAGACATAGAAGTTAGCAGTAGAAAGTCTGAGGATTTGAATAGGTGCTACTGATGTTATTTTACCTTAAGGATCACTGTCCCCAAATCAAGGGCCTTTGTGTAAATTTGGTAATAAAATGCAATACATTGTGTATTTACCTTTCAAACATGAGTTTTTGGATTTTATTTCAGCTCTCTAATGACTTGCAGCAGTGAGAACATTTAGTTGCTGTAGTAGCTATGCTTTAAACTTAGTATTATCTGTTTACTTCAATTACAAATACAAGTTTGTAATTATAAACTCTAAGTTTGTAAGAAAATGGAGATTAAAATCAGAGTAAACTTTTAGGTGAAGGTTGCAAGCCTTGGGGATTGATCTGGTCCGTGCTCAGGAAACAAAACCAATTACAGTACACTGGAAGAATTGTGCTCCTGGTCCAGAAAGAGGCAGGTGTTCTAGCCCAGATGCGACTGCTAATTCTCAGTCCTGCTTGACTGGATGTGACATTAAACCTTTACCTTCACATCTGGGGTCTCTCTTCAAGAGACTCTTCTGCCACTTTGGTCAATCCTTCCAATTCATGCTTTTCCCACCAGTCTCTTTTACCCATTTCTCTCACCAATTCCATTTCCATTCCTACTGCTGGGGTATTTCTCCTGTCCGAAAACAAGGGAGTGAGCAGCAGGGAGCAAGTAAGGTTGATCTTCCCAGTCTGCAGGTAGGAATGATGTGCATTTAGGCTGTGTCCTGGAGTGGAGCTGCAAAGTGTACACCCACCCCTCACCTGAGAACAGGGCAGCACTCTCTGCTGCTGCCACTTGGTAAAATGTTGGGGCAGGATGGGCAGTAACGAAAAACCCAGGGTGCTTCCCTAGAGGCTCTATTACAGTAATGCAAAGTATGAGGGTAAGCTGCTCTTATTTCTACTCTGTTTTGAATCTCAATGTTTGCTAGTGCCTGATGGTTGCTGGAAGTGGCAGGAAACAGGGTTTGAAACAAAAGCAGGAAGTAAACTGGATTGTTTTATGGTTCTTTTCTCTGACAGGCATTTTCCTTCCTGTTACTGCCTTAGTAAAAAATGGATATGCTGCAATATAGAGGGTTGTCATTTTTCACTGTGCCTTTTAGCCAGTACATCTAGAGTGTCTGTTAAGCCGATGAAGGTTTCCTCAGCTCTTTCCCAGTCTTCCAACCATTATATGACTTTCTATTATGCGTTTTCCTTGTTCATTTCCAGTTTTCTTCAGGCTGCTTGTTCATTTCCAGTTTTCTCTAACCTCACTAATACAATGTCTTACTCATTAAAAGAAACTGGCTAGTGGATGAAAACTTGACACGTGCAGCCTCAGTCCAGCTGAGTTTTTAAAAAAACCCCTGTGGGCATTTTAGGAAAGTACAGGATCTATAATACAGGCTTTGGAGTTGAGAAAGGTGGGGATTTCCTTCTCTTTACAAAGATTAAGAATTTGCAAAACAGGTGAATGCAGTCATTGCTTTCTACTATCTTTTCCCTATCAAAGAATTCCTTGGTTACAAGATAGGACCGGCCCTAGGTTAAAAGTGCGGTATTTAGGCGTTGCCTTACAAACAGTTTACAAGATTATTATTTCTGTGCCTCCCATGCCATATAGTTAATTCCTAATAAATGTAACAGTTTATCACAATTATGAACTTTATTTTTTGTGTATTTGTGTGACAGTTTCTGCTAGTTGCTTTGGTGGTTGTGTCGCTGGGACTAGGTTTGGGACTTGGACTAAACCGTGGAGCCCAGGAGCAAGGTATGTTTATGATACTTCCAGTATAATTAAGCTACATCTGCTAAAGGCCTTCAGCAAACCCTCTTTTATAAAGTATAAATGTTCTGTGACAACCTGCCATCTACGAAAATAAAGTTCTTGCATTTTTCAAGTTGGATTGTATAAAATCTGTACACATAATTATACCTGAAAACATATGCTAAACCACTGAATATCTTGCTTCTCAATCTAGAAGTGTTAAACCTAGTTCACAACAGCTTTGGAATTTTTATCTTGATAATATTTTTAGAAAATTTGAGATAGGACATTCTTATTATATATAAGACATTGCAATTATTTCAGCAACATGTATTGTAGAAGAGATGTCATTGGACCACCTTCACGATTCATAGTTCAGGTGCATTTGGCATAGTTCAGGTGGCTAAAAGTGATCATGAATTTTCTGTGAAATTGTCAATTTCTGTAAATCTGTGGTTAAAAAGAAAAAAGTACAATGCTTTGAATTTGTGGAATATTATTTTTTAATTTGAAAAAATGGAATAGCATATTGATGTCAGGGTCAATCAGGATCAGAACAAGTAAACATCACATGGTGAGTTATAACACCTCACTTAGAATCAAAACAATAATAATCTCATACTGGAGGCGTTCAAGGAAGCACAGTATCTTTCTCACTCCTAATCAACATGTATCAAACATATTTACCTACATCAACTCTTTACTCGTTCAGTCCTAGCAGGATGAAATGGAGTTATAATTACTGTTTGATGGCACATGTGTTGTATTACAACTTTCTGTGTAAAATATGGAGATACCTACCACATGAGTCTTTAATGACATTTACCTGAGGAACTTGATCATAGTTGTGGAAAGTGAATGGAAGGTGAAAGATGGCACTGAAAGAAAATTTTTGTGTCTCTGGCTGCAAATGTTGCAGAGCAATCCTAAAAAGGGACTGCCAAACTTTATTTGTTACTTTATAACCAGATCTACTTAAGAAAGATGAAGTAACATTGTTAAGTATGAAGCAATGTACTAACTTAACAGAACTCACACAGTTTTGTAAATATTGTGAAGAAATTAGAGGTATGGATTGCAGATTGTATAAACAGTTCTGTTTCAGAAAAAGAAAAAGTTTTATATTTCTTCTGACAAAGACTCACCATGTATATTCTATATCATTTTAACTCAGATAGACTATCTGAACAACTTTGATTGTTCTAAAGCCAACGGATAGAGGAAAATTAAATGAAATACTTTAGAGACTAAAAATGAAGAAAAAATGATTGCATATGTTTATAAACACTTGTGAAAAATCACAGCTTTTCCTTGGCAGAACATGGCCTAGACATGGAATGCAACCTTTAATTACATGTTTCCATTTGTATTTTTCTTTTCACAGATTCATTTATGCTCATTACATATTTGTTATTCTAATTATTTGCCTAGCTTTCTTGAATGAATGATTATTGTATTGCACATAAAGAGCAAAGTACAACCTGTGAACTTTCTACATGTGAAACAAGCTGACTAATGTGAAAAAAAAAAAAAGCAATCTTAGCTCATAGCTCCATATCCATACATAGTGAATATTAAAGCCTGATTTTTGTAGGCAGTCCACCTTGCAGAAGCATGAACCATTTGGGAAGCATAATAGGATACCCATCGCAATATAACTGTGGCTAGATGGGAACACTAGGAATGTAGGTGCTCGGAGTGGTTCAGACTGTACTTCTACATTACAGAGACTGCAGACACAAGGCACACTGTGCAGGTGATGTTTGGAGAGTTGGAATTGCCCTTGGATGTTGCAGAGGCCCTCTGCAACCTCTGATACCTCTGAAGGTATCAGAGCTGTGGTGAGGAACTGCATGTCTCCATTTCCTGTGCAAGGCCCTTTATGTGGTCCCTTTTATTTCTTTGGGTCAAAACCATCAAACCTGCAGGTTTTTAAGGCACTTCTTAATGATTAGGTGGGAGAGATGTGGTCAGGCCAAGGAGTGCACCAATAAGCCCTGCCCAGCGCTCTGGGCCTGCCCCCACCACCCAGGGCCCAGGGCACCACTTCAGCCTGGGAACTGTCAGCCCTGGCCCAGATGAGGCTGCTGCAGAGCCCTCAGGGAGCCCCTGACCCACACCCAGGGTGGGAGTCACTCTTCTCTCAGCATCCTGGATCCAGAAACAAGCAGAGGAGACACCAGTGGGAGGGTGGGATACCTGGGCATTGCCTCTCTGGGGAGAAGTGCAGCAGAAACAGCTATGCCAGCAGTCCCGGGTGAGCACACGAAAAATAAAACCCAGGACCTTCAGTATCCAGAGGACCTCCTACGACTCTCATGTTGCTTGGTCTGACCTGCGCACTAGCGGCTGCAGTGGAAAATGACTTGGGAAATTGGTTTGGAAAATTAATCACCTTTCTTTACATGTCCATGAACATCCGTTCATCTGACGTGGCTGGGACAGGACTGTTTTGCAGCCTGGTCATTGAGATCCCTTTCCTTCTCGTTGCAGTCAGCTGCAGGCACAAATGCAATGAGCCCTATCGGAAAGAGGTGGCAGGCTGTCAGTGTGACAGTGGGTGCAAAGAGCGTCAAGACTGCTGCTGGGATTATGAAGATGCCTGTGTGGAGCCAAGTATGGTCTTGAGCAGTCTGTGCTCATTGGTTTCCATTCTGTTCTGTTTTATTGCATAGTACTAATTGGAAAAAAATCAGTTCTTGTATTTACACTGATATACAGAAGACCCCCTGGCCATGCTGGGAAAAGGTTTTGGGCTTTGCTACGCCATATATTGACTTGGGGAGGGAGGAAGCCAGTGGTGTTGAGTTTCAGGTTGTTAGAGTGCCTAGCATGAAACCCTTCCACCTCTTTCTCAAATTATATCCTCATCTTTTTTCTTATGAAGAGACATGCTTTTTAGGCAAAAATATTAATTGAAGCAATTTTTATGGACTTCATGTATAGCACAGTGCAATGCAGCAGTGCACAGCACAGCAGCACGGAACAGCCAACTCTTTTGAAGATAACCAGAGCATTTGTAGTGCATGTTTCCTGGCCCAGATTAAGTTATGGACGAGTGTGAATGAAATGACAGGTTTTCTTTGACTAGGGGTCTGAAACAATGCCTGTGCACCAGAACTTTTTGTCCTTTTGAAAATTAACGGGAGTTCCTGTAAAGTATATTGTTGACCTTATGATGTAGGCTTGGGGATTACTTGTGAATTAATGGAATCAGAGGATTGCAATGTTCTTCCGGGAAATTTATTTCCACTTCAAGTCCAGATTCTTCTCCAGTTAGTCCCTATGCTGTCTTGGCAGCAGTTCAGTTTTTCTTCATCCTTATCACTTTCTGCCTGCTTCTGCCCTTAGACCCTTAGATCCCTTAGATCTTTTCCTATCTGCTGGGAATTAAGCACAAGAGAAAGAAAAAAAAAAAAAAGATCTCTTGCCTTCTTTCATTTTAATTAATTAATTAATTTATTTATTTATTTTTGAAGGGTGGAAGGCATTGAACAAGATAACTTTGGTAACACCTTTCTAAAATGAATTATTCTATGATTTGATGTTACCATTCAACGGCAGCAACATGTTATGTGTTTTTATGCGTTAAATGTGTTGAATTTTCCTCTTACATGAAACTTTTAAAGTAAATCAAGTAGGACATATAAATACTGGTTTAACAAAAGCTTTTTTTTTTTTTTTTTTTTTTTTTTTGGGGGGGAGATTTCAAAACAAAGGAGTTTACATACTGTTCTGTGCATGGAATAGTAATCTTTTTCTTACATTTTTCAGCCCGATCTTGGAGATGCACTAATTTCCGTTGTGGTGAGAAGAGGCTACCTGGAAGTTACTGTTCTTGTTCTGATGACTGTTTGCAGAATAAAGACTGCTGTGTAAATTACAACAGCATTTGCAAAGGTAAATCAGAAGTCAGAAAGATGTTGTATAAATGTTCCTGTGAAATAAATGTTTGCTCAAACATTAGAAATATAAAGGTTGATACATTTGTTTCTCAAGGTTAGATTCTTATAGTTACGTATTGGAAGATGAAGATGTTTTGTGGTGAAGCTTTTGGTGTTTTTGACTAGGAAGAAGAAGATTTCTGGAGAGAAGTGTGAGAACTGTCATTCATAAGAAAGAGTGTTCTGAATACTGCAGCAGTATCCCGAATGTGGTTTTTGCGTTTGTGTTTTTGTTTGTTTGTTTTTTTCCAAAAAATAGTTGGAGACATGGTTCCAGCTTCAAATCCCATGGAATCTGAAGTACTTATAGTAGTAGTAATGAGCCCTAATTAAAACTTTCCCTTTCTTTTTAATAAAAATTAATTTATAGAATGAGTTTCTTATGTTTTACTTATTTTGAATGTTGTTCATACTTAATTGTTTTATACAGACTCTGTCTAAACATAACATCGTTAGTAAAATCAGATTACAGATATGATATCTGAAGAGTATACTGGTGACTTAAAACATGTTATCTGTTATTAGAACTCCTGTATATTGTGAGGTGGCTGAGACTGAAGTCAAGTTCTGCAATATTATATTTGTCACCTAAATGCAAATGGAAGCTAAAAACAGTCAAGAGTTTGGCTAGATGCTAATTTATTTGAGCAGAGAGTACTGACCTAATTAAGATCAGTGTACATCCCCACTTCTGGCTGTTTATTAGGATAGGAGTTTTCTGTGGTAAGCCAAGAACTCTAACAGCCGCTGCTTCTTCTCTTTTCTTTCTTTATTTTTTTCCCCCCTTTCATTCTTTTCTTACTTCTTCTTTTATTTCCCTTATTTCTTCCAAAGGGATGGGCAGATCATTATCATAAATGAGTGAATGTGAAATGTGAAGCAGGTGTAGGTTCAAGGGAGAACAGAAAGACCTGGAAGTCAGAAGCTGTGGCCAACAAGGGAAGACTGAAGGAGTTTGGATTCTTTACAGGGGAAGAAAAGAAAAACAAAAGCTAAAGGAAGTCCTGGCAGCCATCACAAAGTGTATAAGTGGAATTTGCAGAAAAAGAAGTATTCCAGTGTGGATCCTGGATACAGTTAAATGTTACTCATTTAGAGACAGATAAAAATTAGGCTAAGCTTTCATAGTAATTTCTCCTCCACTTTATTTGCTTGTTTGGGTAGTATGTGTGTTCTGTTTTTAGCTTACAGCTGTAAGCATTAGTCCTTTCAGTGTCTAAAGGCCTAATAGCTTGTGCAAAATGATATATAAAGGTATTTTTAGCCCTACTTTTCTATAATTCTGTATTGAAACAAAAAGTCTCAGAAAGAGCTCTAAAAAGGTCAACCAAGAAACTTCTTTGTTGTACAATTTGTTTTTTGTATTACTTTGTAATGCTAACTCAGTATTTTATTTTGTCATTTTAGGTGAAATACCTTGGGTAGAAGAACCATGTACACCACTTGAAACTCCTCAGTGTCCAGCTGGGTAGGATAAAGTTTTTTTCCTTTCCCCTTCCCCTTCCCCTTTCCCTTCCCTTCAACAAATAAGAAATATTAGGGTGGGCAGAAATGCTTCACTCAGCCACAGTAGGTCTTTAAGAGATTTTTATAATTACTGAGAATAAGATGCCTGCCTAGAGAATATATTTTCTATAGAAATAGATTATGGCTAGCAACATTTTGTTTTTCTAGAGCATATGTAATTTTGTTGCAAATCCATTTATCATTTACAGCTCAGAGCAGAGTACAGGAGTTCAAATGCAGATTACAAGTCAGTTTCCAAAGACCTGGAAAAATTGTTAGAGTTAATTCATGTATCACAAATTGTTCATAGTCCATTTTACGTTATTAGTACAGTATTTCTGATAATTCAATCTTGACGTTCTATGAGCTTATGCAGGCTACGATAACTTGGAATTTATGATGGCAATTCTTTATCTGAAAGATTTATTTATTTATTTATTTTTACTCAAAGAGCATATGAGAAGAAAGGTTAATTAAAAAAGAAGATATGAAAGTAGTGCTATGTCTGCAATATCTGGAACATGGAAATTCTGATGACCACCTGTAGGTATTTTATAAAGATAGTTTATATCTACAGGCAGATGTTATAGGTATAGGATAGGCAGAAACATAGTTTAAAAGTTGTTCTCAAGATAAAATGAATTATTTTTCGGCTAAGTCTCAGTATCTGTCAGGTTATTATTATGTTATCTATTTTACTGCCGAATTATACTTAATTATAACAATTATACCTTTAGTAGTGCAGCCTCTTTCTAAAGTTCATGGGTTCCTGCATGGACCGCCAAGTATAGGTACAAAGATACGTACTTCTTAGGTTAACAAATAACTTATGGAGTTCACAGTGATTCATAGGCTAGAATTTAGACATTAGAAGAAGGCTTCTTTAAGTGCTGTAAACAACACAGCTATATAAAGCTCCATTTTGTTTCAAACTTCAATCAGGAAGCTATTTTATGCAAAATGTTTGTATACAAACTTTTGATGACAGTGTACTTTAGTGTTTTGGAAAGACTGAATGAGAAACAAACTGGGATAGTTTGTTTTATTTTTTGTGATATTGTGTGATATGAATATATAACTTTATTTTTATAGTCATCACTCAAAGTATTACTCCAAAAAATTCTTCAGTCACATGTTAGTAACTGCATTTAATCAATAGTAGTTCTTTTCAAATGTTTTCCAGGTTTATGTATTGAACCATTTCTACAAATTACGAATAATTGGTTCTATTTTTATTTATTTTAGATATCACATATAATGAAACTTATTTCAAACTACATTTTTCATTCAATTGTAAGCTTTATTTTTTCTAAGGAAACAGTGAAATACATAATGATGGTTAACAAAAAGACTGAATTGCAAAACTAGATAACTTGATCCCTCTGACTTTTTCTCTTTGTGTTACAAGTAAAATGCTGTAGCGCTAGCATTTTATATCTCCCAATGCATTTTTTTTCTTTATCAGTCCTTTTAGATTGGTTAAAAAAAAACACATCTAATAACTTGGAAGGTTTTTTTCACAGGTAGCACTTCCCAATTAGAACGTTTACAACAATAATCTAAACACTTCTACAGATCAATTTCAATTTGCACACGTTTTATCATACTTTCCATATAAATTCAGATCTGAGGCTTTTGATCCTTGTTTGCTTACATTAAATCTTACCTATGGCATGATAGCAGCTGCATTCTTTTCTTAGCTTTGTGTGCAGTGTGTCGGTGGACTTGAGGTAAGAAAGCTTTCTTTACCTCAATGAGAGAGCTAACTTGAAAGATAAAATCCACAGAGAACCTGGACTGCCCACTGATGTCTTCACAAAGCAAATGTGGTAAGGTAAACAGCACAAACCCGGCAGTGCAGAGAGATTACTCTTTCCAGCCCAGAGGCCAAATGATCTTAGCTGCTTGCTGGGTGATTGCTGGCTTTTACAGTCTTGTGCAGGTGCCCTGAAAGATTTTTAAGGTGTGTAAAGAGAGAAGAGACAGAATTCAACACTACTATGTCCAGAAGTGCTTTGGCTGTTCTGTACTCTGGGCTTGAATTTGGATGATAGTCTGTAGATTTATATTTGTGATTAAAAGATGAAAAAGAAGCAAACAATTTATTTTCATGGGTTGTATATATAATGAGTAGCTTGTATTTTATGCCTCCAGTGGTTTCTTTTTCATGAGGATTGTGTGTTTGTACTTGAGCTATTTGTTTATCTCTCACTGTGACTTTAATTCTTGGAATCATATGGGAGTTCTGGAGACTGCTTTTAAAAATAGAATTTGTTTTGTTGTTAAAGACTTTAACAAGTCAATAACTCTTCAAACTCCTTAATGATCAAGAAGTTGTATTTTCCTACAGGTTTGATGTGCCACCACTTATCCTTTTTTCAATGGATGGTTTTAGAGCAGAATACTTGCAAACCTGGGGTTCGTTGCTGCCAAATATTGAAAAACTCAGTAAGTTACCACAAGTGCTTTGACTGTTTTCTTTAAAAATCTGCATGCAACCTCTCTACTTAGTCCCTTTTGCTGCTACATTGTTCACATGTTGCTCGACAATAAGAAGATCCCAAATCAGGTCTCCCTTATCAGTTGTATACTTATATTATTTCATATTCTACATTAATTCTTGTATTTGAGTGCACAGCAACCAAGACTCTTTTTTAAGAAGGCCATTAATATTGGTCTGCAGTGTTTTATTAAATAACTAGTTTGAAATGTACATTCAAATACAGTTTAAGGCTCAAAAATAGTTCGAGCAAAGGATTTCATACATTTTCTGTACTCCAGTAAAAATTCTATTAGGTAACGCGATCTTCATTAAAGTATAATACTAAAAAAAATGCATTAGGTTATTGGGAAGTATCCCTCAAAGGTGTACTTTTCCAAGTCAGATATTTTAACATATTAAAAAGAAGCTGAATATTTAAGAATTTAAGAGAATGAGTGAATATTCTTATCTTAGACTTAAATATAATGTAATTTACATGTTGGTATAAATTAACGTATTGATGTAATTGCAGTAAGGTTCAAGCAACTGTTTCTCAGTATTTCTTTAGGTTGTGCTGTAGAGGGCTCTGAAAATTGAAAACCATTAGCGCACACTTTGTATTCAAATTTCCTGAATATTTTAGGAAACTCTCAATATGCTTTGTACCTGGCCAAAATCTCTGCGAATTTATTCATTTCTTCTCAGCAGTAATAGTCTAAATTGACAGTGTTTGTGTCTGTTCTGAATATATTATGTTCTGCTTACTGAATAGTAAACAATCTTGTTTGTGGATTACAAAGGATATCCAGGGGCCTGAACTTAAAACAATGTGCAAATGACTTCTTTTGCAAATATTTTATTCTTTGCTGTCTTTCTGAAAATGGAAGGAATTTGAATCAGTGAAGAAATCATGCATGAAGAAGTCAGTGTTCAATTCCAGTCTTTTGAAAGAGGTGAAAAGGAAATGCCAATTTGACTTAAGGCATGAAAACCATGCTAGGTGAAGGCATGAAAACCATGCTAGGTGTATGTTTCCAAGAAATCCCTGTAAACAAGATCAGTTCTAATTCAATACCTGTGGTCAGCTTTAATATTTACTTATACACACTCATGCTTATATTTCTCAGTAATCTACTGTGGGTAAGAAAGGGAATTTCCTTTCTTTGCAAAAGGAAGACTTTTAAGCTGATTTGTACCATAAAATATTTCCTCTCTCGGACTCCATTAACCTAGCATTTTCAATAGAGCTAATGAAGCAAGTTGGTACAGAATATATATTATGAAAGTAACTCCTTTACTGTTCAAGAGAAATCTGTAAAAAAATTCTTCTGATTTTCTCATTTGTCAATTATTCTGTCCCTCTTTAAACATTCTTTATAAGCCTTTTTTTTCTGAACAACACTAGAACAGTTTTGTTGAGTATCAGGCTTTCAATTGGTTAGCTGAACTTGTTCAGTTAAAAAATTTTATTATTTAATGGAAATGCTTTATATCAACTAATAAATTGTGCTTCTGTGTGAATCAAATGATCAGCTGACTACAGATTAATACAGAGTTGTTTCTCCACATGACATTAAAAATGGCATTAAGGCATCTTAGAGTCTTCACAACTTTTATTTTGTGGATAAATAAGTTGAATTGCAGTGCATTTAGCTATTACAGATGTTCAGGTGTGGTAAGTGCCTTTGAAAATTAATTGCTGAAATGTAGCACAATGGATGGAGAGAAAGAATCAAAGAATCATCTGCGTTGGAAATGACCCATAAGATCATCATTTCTAATGATCACCTTATGTCCATCACTGGCAAGTCCACTACTAAACCATTTCCCTAAGCTCCACATCCACACGTCTCTTAAATACCACCATGGATGGCAGCTCCACCACTTCTCCAAGCAGCCTAATACAATGCCAGTCTTTCCGTGAAGAAATTCTTCCTAAAATTTAATCTAAACCTCCCCAACACAACCTGAGTCTGTTTCCTTGCATCCTATCACTTGTCACCTAAGAAAAAAGAATGACACCCATCTTGCTACAAACTCCTGTGCCTTCAAGTTTTCATTCTTGAAGCATGTCCAGCCTTCCTGGGCACTTGGGATGAGATTCAGTCCAGACTAGGGCACATATATTTAGATATGTTCTTGGATATGTCTATATATAAGAAACATGTCCATTGTAGTAAGTGCCTTTATGGTTAATGCAGTCTGTGCAGTATGGTGCAAGTGCCTAGAGAGCATGTCAGTTCAACCTACAGAGGGTGCCACAGGACTGGGTGGGTTTCAGCATCTACATCAGGGCACAGGTCTCCCATTGATCTTACATCAAAACTGCTGGCTTCCTGTGTATGTCTTGGATATCTGAGTGTATCTAAAATGGCATTGGACTCCAGTGCTGTTGCAAATGAGTCTTTCTGTTCACCAGACAGCTCTGCAGATTGTCCTGCCTGGGCTGACCTGAGGCTTCAGTCTGGTTACATAAATGTATATGTCCAGTGCCAGGGTGATTTGAAGTATGAGAGACATCTACTTAGGTTGGCATGGATGCAGGAGCAGCGCGTGGAGACTGGGCAGAATCACTAAAGATGCCTCAAAGGACCTCGAGCATATAGGGTTCAGGCAGCTGAATTGAGTGTCCTGTGTTCGATGGCAATCGAGTGTAGGCCTAGCTCACAAGGAAACACCAGAATGTTTGTGTCGTATTTTTGGGTCAAATTTCTTGTCTAATACAATAGCAACTGGACAACTGAGCAGCTGACTGTGGTGATGTTGTATTTTATTTTATTTTTTATTTTATTTTATTTTATTTTATTTTATTTTATTTTATTTTATTTTATTTTATTTTATTTTTTTTTGTTTTTAAGACTGTTAGTTTTCAATTAAAAAAAAAAAGGAAGGAAACTTATATTAATTCTGTAATCTGTTGCAGAAACATGTGGCACACATTCAAAATACATGAGAGCTGCTTACCCCACAAAAACTTTTCCAAACCACTATACTATTGTCACAGTAAGTGAGAATTTGTTATTTATACTTTTCTTTATCTATATGCCACAGAAAAGATTTTTTGGTACCAAGGAATTAACTAATCTTTTTGTGGAACATAGGAACTTAGGCTATAGAAGTGATATATAAAGAGACATGCTGAGATAGTACATGCAGCGTTGTAGGAAAGAGGCATGCCTACGTGTTTATGTAGGTATGTCATCTGATTCTGGCCTATGAACCTGTTATTCCTGATCTTTGTCAGTCTACTTGGATACGGGTGAATAGGGGTGAGGGCGCTGCCATTTGATGAGTGTCTGTGTTAGGGTGGGTTTGGCAGCTGATATGTAACCATGTGACATATCTGATACTTAATCTATAGCATATCAGCTTTTAATGGGGTTGTGGAGGAAAGAGGAAAACTGAAAGGGAACTTGCAAGGCACACTGAGTTCACTGGAAGTAATCTGATGAACTATGTGAGGTAGGAAATGTATTCTGTTTCTGTGATAAAACAGCCATAAAATAATTGCAATAATTGCAACATAGTTTAGGTTTCATTTGATTTTAAGGTTCATAGTTTTATGTTTGTTTGTTTTCATTTTGCAGGGATTGTATCCAGAATCTCATGGTATTATTGATAACAGCATGTATGATGTAGACTTGAACAGGCACTTCTCACTTTCAGGGACCGAAAAATTCCAGCCTGAGTGGTGGAAGGGACAGCCGGTAGGTTTACCTTCCATTCATGGTGTTCTTCTGTCTAAGGGATCATGTGTCATATTATAAAACAAAAGAGAATAAAATGCAAAGTTGTGTGATGTACTTGCAGTACATACTAAATGTCCTTTAGGGTTCATATTATAGGCTGCCTACAAAACAGTTTTCTTTCTGAAGGTAAAAGAACTCTTAAAATGTTGACTCAGAGGCTTTAAGAATTCTTTTAATGGGACAGTTTCTGAAAAATCCTTAAATATTTTGGCTGTTATTGGAATGGTATTCTTGCCACAGGAAACCTTAGTAAGTTTTTGATAGGGTTTTATTTTGCAGGTTGTATTTGTTTGGTTGGTTGGTTAGTTAGTTTTTGACAATTAGCTAAACAATGAAATTTGCAAATCTATTTCCAAAGTATATCCATTTAAAAATACACTTATAAAGTCCAGGCATATAAAAACAAGGAATAGGATAGCAAGAAACTTCATTTCCATCTAAATGAATGCTTCTGTGTAAAATGTGACTCATTTCATCAAGAAAACCTACCTCTTGATTGTATCTGTGGTTATAGCTAATATTATTAATTTACTAGAAATACCAAGTAGTACAAAAATAGAAAAAAAATTATTTACATGTGTAGTATATGCTTAATGTATATGTTTAACATACATATATATTTAATTATATACACACATACAGATTACATATTTATATATATATATGTGTGTAGTCATGTTTATAGTATACCCAAGTATACAAATTTTGGTGCTGTTGTTTTCTGAAGGATTCAGTAGGGACCACAGCTGCACTCTTTAGAATGAAGAGAAATATACCCTGTAATAATAAAATTATGTAACTAGAAACCGTATCTTCCATCTTTATGATTCATTCCACTGGATCCACATATCCATTCTGCAGGATATGTCATTGGAAAAAGGACACACTACCTGTTGGCAGCTATGGAAATACCTGTACGATTTTTTTTTTCCCTGAGAATTCCCAAGAAACTGCAGCATACTCACTCCCATGCTACCAATGTTTCTTCAGAATGTGTACACAGAAAACAAACTTCAAATCTGACACATTTTTAGGCAACATGATGATTTGTTAGGTACATGATGTATGAAAGAAGAAAGAAATGTATACCTGCAGCCCATATTTCTGATCCAATCATGTATTTTGATTCTGGTGATCTGAGGCCCTCCAGTTGTGTAAATGCAATAAAATAATTTGTTTATATCTTTATCCATAGATGTGGCTTACAGCAATGTACCAAGGTTTGAAAGCAGGAACATTCTTTTGGCCAGGCTCTGATGTTCCCATTAATGGTACATACCCGGACTTGTACAAAATGTACAACAAGTAAGTTTTTATAAGGCTTGTGGAAAATGCCCCTAAATTACTCCAAAAATACAAATTGTCATATAACAGTTGAGGGAATTAAATACCTAAATAATTTAATTTAATAATTACAATTTTAAACAACAGTCTGAGTGGCAAGTGCCATATCACATAGTCCTGTGTTTGCCACGGAACTGCCATTAATAGTTAAAAATTTCAAACCCATTTAGGTGATTCACAATAAGAAAGGCAAAAAGTACTGTATGTTCTCCTCTCCTAGATGGTTTTGAAAGTTTCAGCCAAGTGCAAACCACCAATTTCCCACTGAGAAGGCATCCCATAAATAGTAGCCACCTACAAGCTATACCAAAGACTACCGTAGTTTCACACATGAAGTCTAAAATCTACACATAATAACTAACTCTTTGAAAGTACTTGTACTTGATAATAAGTTTTCAGATAACCTATACCTTAACTAACTTGGAAACACTGGCAAAAGGTTATAGAAGGCAGGAACTAACTGAAGAAAGGACACTGCATAGGGAAGCTACTGAAGGAAGATGACCTTTAGACCGAGTAATTTTTCATCTTTTGGAAGGCATTGGTATTAGCAATTATTTTTTTTTATATTTTTATTTTTTGTGATTTCAGTAAATCTCTCATGGTTCTGTACATTTACAAGGCTATTCTAAAGTTAGTATATAATTGTAAGGCTGTATTGATAACAAATTACTTATTACTGGTATCTTACTAAGATATGTCATTCTTGAAATACAATACATTGACTTTATTATGTTACAAGAGTAATATAGTAACATAGTAACTAGGTGGACTCTTTCTCCGTACTTATATTCCTTGGAATTGGGAGGGCAAATCAGAAAGGGCTTGTTGACATATCTTTTTGTTTGTTTCAGTTCAGTTACATATGAAGAGAGAATTTCAGGAATACTGAAATGGCTTGATTATAACAAATCTGAAAGGTAACAGTAATATCCTAGTGGTTTGTAAGAGTACAGCTTGGAATGGTTGTAATACTTTGCAGATGAACTTTCTATTAGTGTTTCTGAAACATGGAATCTACCATGTTTTGCCATCTCAGATGAGAATTTGCTGAACATGACCTTGTAGTATAAGTATAGTTAATGATTTTCAACATACGATTGTGGATGCAATGTACCTGAATGGAATGTACTGTTTTTTAAGTTTTCCTTTATTGTTTTGTCTTATGCCCTAGGTGAAACATGTAACATTCAGTTTCTAGGCTGAGTGTAGGATTTTGTAGGAAAGGTCTTACACAAGAAAGGTTAAATATCTGAAAGTAATTGCAGACAGTAATTCAGAATGAAAAGCAGATGTCTGTACAGGTTGTGGTAGTGTGGATATTACTATGTTTGCATGTATCAGAGAATGACAAAGTAGAAGACTTTTACATCTTCTAAATGACACAAGATTCTGAATACCGTAGTGATCTAGGACTGTAACTTGGCAGTTAGATGCCCAATAGATTTGTATCTGTTGCAGTTGTTTAAATGAAATAATGACAGATTAAGATTCATTTGTGTGTGTTTTTAAATAGAATTTTAGATTACCATGCTGATCTTTGTAACATGTAAACAAGTGAAATCTTTTATATGATGATTTGTTACCAAAGTCCTCATATTTGCAGTTAGGAGACACTTTCTAGAGCCTCATCACTTGAGCAGGATAAGGTCATTTTAGTGGTAGTTTTGTTTGTATCTCAAGAACAGCTTGCTTTGTTCTCTAAGATCCTGAGGTTTTACTGAGTGATTTCTTTAAAGACACTGGATACTGTTTCTTAAAATGTAATTCCAAATAAAATAGTCCATGTTGATTAATTACAAAACTCAGAGGAAGGTAGATGATTATAGTTACTGTTTTTGCTTTTTCTTTTTTTCTTAAGGTTAGAGGAAATTACTTAAAATTATATTTGTATTTCCTTTTGTTTCATATGAGTTTTTTTTTTTTTCAATGCTGTCTCCAAATTTTCATAATATTTCCTTTTTATTTATTTGTAACTTGAGGCCTGATTTCTACACTTTGTATGTTGAAGAACCAGATTCTTCTGGACATTCATTTGGACCAGTTAGTGCTGGCGTAAGTAGTTTTTGTGTTTTTCCTAGACTAAATATCACTAAAAATGGTGCCGTACTATAAACTTATCTGATTTATAAACTTGGAAAGTATACTAGATCAAAAATTACCATGACTGTTTTCTGAGTTTTCATTAAGTTAGGCTCTTGCTTGTGGCTGACCCCTTAGTTATGATCAGCAGTGTGTGTGAGCCAAAGGAGCCGTAACACAAATGGACTGGCAGAAAATCATTTCTGTTCATAGTGTTACAAATAGTATTAAGTTTAAAGTTGAGTGCATTTAGACGAAACTTCAATTTTATTGACAAGTGATATTTGGAAGCATGTGGCCTAGGAAATTCTCAGAACTGTCTCTTATATATTCATTAATTCTACTTCAGTGTTTGTTAATTTGTATTATTTCGTTTTTATCTGCATGCATGAAAAAAGTTCAGTCTTTAAGGAGAGACCCAACACATCAGGCTTATCATATCAGCTCCTTCCTAGATTGTGTAATAGCTTTGAAAATGATCTTCCACAGAAGGCTTTCTTGTAGTGGACAAAGAACAGAAAAACTGATCTTTGTAGGACAGTTTTAGGCTCCCTGACTGGAAAGTGAATTCCATTTCTCTTTGTGCACAAAGGGCTTAAAACCCCTTTACTGTATGCATAATTGTATATTTGTGCGTTGTCCTTGCATGCAAGATTGTTGAGAGAGTGCGGCTAGGGGAACAAGAAGGGTGCAATTCCTCAGACTCAGTAAAGCGTTGTCCTTTCTGTTTGCTCTTTGAAGGAGACAGTAAGTCAGCTATGCCATTTAGGGAAGAGCCATTCTTCGTGAAGATCTGCAGTGTGGGTTGTGATGGATTTCTCCCATATTACTTCAGTGGTGGTGTGGTTCTCCAAACTGCTCCAGCACGGGTCCCCCACAGCTGGGTGGCAGCTCCCCCCAGACCCCCTGCTCCTGCGGGGGCTCCTCTCCACGGGCTGCAGCTCCGGCCCAGGGCCTGCTCCTGCGGGGGCTCTCCATGGGCCGCAGCCTCCTCCAGGCCACATCCACCTGCTCCACCGGGGGCTCCTCCACCCACGGGGGGGCTGCAGCGTGGAGATCTGCTCCATGTGGGACCCATGGGCTGCAGGGGGACAGCCTGCTCCACCAGGGGCCTCTCCATGGGCCACAGGGAAACTGCTGCTGTGGTACCTGGAGCACCTCCTGCTGCATGGACCTGGGGGTCTGCAGGGCTGGTTCCCAGTCCTCTCTCCCAGCTGCTGTTGCACAGCAGTTTTTTCCCTTTCTTAAATCTGCTCTCGCAGAGGTGCAGACATTGCTTATTGGCTCGGCTCTGGCCAGCGGCAGGTCCCTTTTGGAGCCATCTGAAACTGGCCCTTATCTAGCATAAGGCAGCTGCTGAATTCTTCTCGCAGAGGCCACCCCTGCAGACCCCCACTACCAAAACCTTGCCATGTAAATTCAGTACACATAGTCAGTGATTTTCTGTAGGAAGCTTGAAGGAACTCTGTATTGGAGAAGGACACCATGTTTCCTTAGATGCCATAGGTAAAGAGTGTATGTAAATGATTTTGAAATGCTGCTTGTTATTAATACAATGACATTCTCATGCTACAACGACAGTTTAATTGTCATTGTCATTAATTGTCATAAATGTCAAAGACATTTAATATTATAAATCTTATATTTTATATAAATTGGGGGTAAGGAAAAAATCTGAATGTGTTACATTTTTATTTTAATAAACGTATTTTAAAGCTTAAGTAATAGAAAAAAATCTAATGTGAGTCTTTAAAATGTACTTAGTGTAGCAAATTCTGTGGTAGAGTATTGGAATTGCACATCTTTAATGGTGATGGTAAATTGCACTGGAGCAGAAGAAATAAAGGAGCAATATGAACAGCATGAAAGCTGACAGAAAAACTTGCTTTTTTCAGACTGATTTAAGTGATAACTTGATTAAGTGATAACTTGAAATCAGCAACAAAGGAAAGTTCTAATGAACCTTGTTTCTCTCACAGGTAATCAAAGCCTTACAGCTAGCAGATCAAACACTAGGAATGCTAATGGAGGGACTTAAACAGAGAAACCTGCACAATTGTGTAAATCTCATTGTTTTAGCTGATCATGGTAATGTATATAATTTTGTTTTTCAATGTAAACTTCACTGAGTCATTGTTTTCTTTCTCTTCTAATATGTGTGCTTACTAGTTTTAATCAATTTTATAAATCACTTTATGGTATCTTGGAATGTAACTGTTTCTGTATTGTTCTCTAGGGATGGACAAGACCTACTGCAGCCAATTAGAATACATGACTGATTACTTCGAACAGGTTAATTTCTACATATATGCTGGGCCTGCAGCTCGCATTCGAGCAAACAAGGTTCCTCAGGACTATTATACTTGTAAGTGTGGACCAATCCTGGGATTGCACAAGCACTATATCAGGAAATAAATAAACAAACAAAACTTTCTGTATCAGGGAAAAGAAGGGAGAGAGGTAAACCATGGAAGTGCTCTATTCAGGGAGTTTAGAGAATTCATAAAGTATTCTAAAAGGCATAATTATAGCAGATTTTAATTAAAAGCTGGAATCCTGTTGTACTTTCTTTTATCTATTCTAATTGTATTTATATTTATAGACACAGCATTTATACAACCTGAAGCAGACTTTCCTTGGCTTAAGTAACAGACTAAGTCAGACAGGAACAGAGTAACAAAGTATACTAAGGAGTTCAGAGGAACAAATAATGATGTTTATTATGTGTTTTATTTTCTGTATAATTGTTGACTTATTTTTTCTAATGGTCTTACTCTTTCTGAAAGAATTTTCCTTCTGTAAAGTGCTCTGATTTGTATTTTAGAAAGCTAATGTCAAAAGACTGAAGTTACTCTTCTAAAACATAGAAGGTGAAATTGCTAGAACAGACTGGATTCTCTGTGACTGCTGCTGGAACTGGAATACTAGACAAGCGGTCCAGGTCCAATTCAATGTAAAGAACATTCTATTTCAAACTGAGGTCTGTAGGGAGAAAAAAATTTGGTTTTCATGATTTATCAGCTTTAGGTGTAGGCAGTCTTTTCAACATAGCTTATCAACATAGCTTTTCAACAGTCTTTCTTGATGTACCCAAAGTACCAGGTATTGTCACAGGCTACCATGTATGCAGGCAGTTATTCTTGCAAACATAGCATTCCTATCCATGGAAGGTTATGTTACCATGATCTTCACAAGCTAACAAAGAAATTCAATTTTACAGGGAAAAAGTGTGTTGAAATTTTTTTAGCAAGGCTTTGGACCTTCAACTATTTTAATGTATGCTGATTGATCTTTTCTTTTTAACAGTTGACTCAGAAGGAATTGTTAAAAACCTCACAGTGAGTAAATATTTTAATATTTTTTCCTCGTAGTTCCTCTTAATAGGAATGTGACCAAAAAACATAGTTTGTAAAAAACTGAGATTATAGTGCCAGTTTAAATAGCGTATTGTAGTGTACCACAGGAGGTAGTTCTAGAAGTTGTTCAAAAATAGTACACAAATGAGTGCTGTGCTGTATTTCTGTTCAAAGCAAAGAAGTTTTCTGAGCTTCACTTTGAAATGGAAGAAATAGGTGACTTCAGATGGAGAAAGTAAGGTATATCTTCATTATAGAACAGAATACAACACAGTGGTGCTTTAAATAATAGACATCCTGTTAGCTCTGTATCACAAGGGCTGCACCCAGGCCAGGTTAAAGCAAATTTTCCATGCAACAGATTTTGACATTGTGGAGTACATTGCCACAGGGTTTTGTAGAGGCTTACTATATAAATAAGAAGGGAAGATTTTAGATGACTTTAAGAAGGACAGGCCTGTAAGGGCTGTTAAACATGATGCACAAGTAAGCCTAGAGGAAGCTGAACAGGTACAAGAAAGAATATTAATTTAATACTTGGCTTGTTTGTATATGCTTTCTTTATACTTCAGTATCTGGTTCTGGCTACTGTTGGAAACAGAGTTCTGGGCAAGATGGACCTTTGGCATGAGGAAGTATGGCTTTTTCAGGAACTTTTATGGCATATGACTTGAGTACTTGCAGGACTTTTAGGTATGCTGCACTACCACTGGTCTCCATAGTGATAGTTTTGCCATACTTTGTGGGTGTAGCACTTGAGAGCAGGTCCAAGCTTGCTTGTGTCTCCTGTGTAGGCCGTTGCTCCTTCTAGGTGCACTCTGTGGCAGCTGAGTGCTGAAGGATGCAAACAAATGAGTGCAGGATGGAGTGCAAAACATAGGAAGACCAAGACAGTTTCTTTTACTGAAAGGTGATGAGGTGGAACACTGCATATTTTTCTTTATAGTCTTAAGATAGATAATTCACTGTTGTTTTTGTTTGTGTGTTTGTTTGTTCTCTTGTTTATTTTAATCAAATTATAAATTAACTTGTTATATATGTGGTGTGCAAACTAGCATCCTTGCAGGAAGCTTGATTTTTGTATTTCTTTAAATTTATAATTCATGGTGAATTAAAGATATAAACTGCTCACTCTCTCTGTATTGCCATAATTTTCCTTTATTTCCTTCAATGAATTTGTGGACAGATGTTCTGATACTTCTAGAGCTGAGTATTTACTCAGCTTGGAAAAGTGCTAGGCTATCTCAGCAGAGTGTATTTCCAATAAACCACCACTGGAGGTCTTCCTGTAACCTCTTGAATCACTCATCTGTGCCATACAACACGTAGCTTTTGCCAGCCACTCGAAGTTCAGAGAGCGGTGAAATTCCTGTTTAAATTCTTATTGATTCTGAATTACCTAAGAACATGTCCTTTGTTCCAGCATCCAAAGCAGACGTGGGAGTAGAATATCAGGGGATGGGAATAGAGGAAGGAGCTTTTTCAGTGTTACATCTTCTACCCCATTGTATGATGTGGAGCCTGTCATACCAAAGAGCATTAGGGTGAAGGCAATAGCAGTTTCTGCATGTTCTCTACCCTACTTGAAACTGCTACTGGTAATAGTTACAAGGTGAGATGCAACATCTCTGTATTGTAGGAATAATCTGGATTGAGGAGACTTCCTTTCCCCCATCTATTCATAGATAGTTACATCCCATGTTTTGTCTCTTTCAAGTTGTTAGAAGAAGGGTTTGGGGCAGAGAAGGAAATTGTGGATTGTATGTTAATTAGGTCGATTTCTTCTATTTTTTTCCCTTTATTAGAGTATCTTCTGCAGAATGATCTCCTCTCCTGAGCTAGCAAACCCACTGAATCCTTATTTGTTTTTCACTGTGCTTCTTAGATGACTATCAAGGAACATTTTACTCTCATTTCATACATGAATGGCATTCTGTGCATAGTGTAGAATTCTAGGGCTCAAAGGTGAAGATGTCAGATCAGACTCCAAATATGCTATAGCTTGTGTGCTGCCTGTGTGATAAAACAGGCCCTCTTCTCTGGCTTAATCTGCTTTCTAGCAGCAATTCCCTCAACATTTTAGCTGTTCTGTGTTGTCCCAGATTTCTGAATGGGATCAACACCTCTGAAACATTGCTGTGGTGGTTTCTGGCTGGTGGAGTGACTCCTGATAACCATATGCAGTTAAATTATTGCAGCATATTGTATGGTTTTCATTAGTGTCTTGATGGCAAACTCCTTCATGGTATGCCTATTAATATAGCAGTTAAAATAGTAAATGTGGATGTCAGAGCTAAGGTCTGTAGCTAATAGCTGAGCACTAGACATCTACATGTTCAATCTTGCAACTAAAACTCTAGACAGTACATGTTATGTATATTTGTTTTTCTGTGTTGCTTATTGAATGGTAAAGTAATAGAAGGTGACAGAAAATCATGAACTACCTAGGAACTTTCTCTTGTAGTTTGTGAACTTACATATGAGATGCCAGTGACACTAGTACGAATGTACAGGGTAAACATTACTACTAAATGTCTTTCAGCCTTAGCAGTGCTTTTACCATAGTATTGGTAAGGTTACTATAATTCCATTGCCTCTTGGGCTGAAAATGAGATAGGCAGGGTTATTGGAGAAGCTCTCTCCAAACTGTTTGTGATAATACTCAATGATGGATTTATTTTTGATACTGCACAAATCTGACTGGGCCCTTTCTTGTTGTGCAGTGCAAAAGATCCCCTCAGCACTTCAAGCCTTATCTGACACCTAACCTGCCAAAACGGTTCCATTATGCTAACAACATTCGTATTGACAAAGTTCATCTTCTGGTGGATCGACAGTGGCTGGCTGTAAGGTACCATCATGTTTGTGACCGTTTTCCTTTTCATTTCATTCATTGATGCCTCCTTTCTTGTTTTGTAAGACTTGCAGTGTTACATTTATTTTTTTTTTCAAGTGTAAAAATGAATAATGTAAGCTAAGAATGCATTTTAGTATGACTGAAATCTTCACAGTCTAGTCAAAGAAGTCTAGTACTCCAGAAAAAAATTTTACAGAAAAAAAACAACAGCAGCAGCAACAACAAAAAAGCTATTAAAAAAAAAAGTCTCAAAAATAATGCAGTTAAAAGTGTTACGCAAACCCTTCCTAGTATCTAGACCTTTTGCTGGTGTTAAGGTCATCCTCTCACTGTTCTTCTGGGCCCTTATGACTTCAGTCTGCTGTCCAGAAATTGGCATTATTATCCTTCCTCAATAGGAATATGATGCTGATGTTTCTTTTTCTTCACTCTGTGATCTTACTGAGGTCATTTTTATATGTATGCTAACACACTTCTATAACTTTGTCGTTCTTCACTGGTCTCCAAGTCAACACTACATCTCATTCTACTGTTTATAATGTACTTTACATGTGTTAAATACTTGTTCCTGTTCTCTTTTTTACTTCTAAATATGGCTATATTAGTTTCCGGATCTACATGTCTTTGATAACTCACCAAAACACTGGTGAGTTGTTTGTAGCCTTGGGGTCTCCAGAGGCCAGCTTGGGCAAGTCTGTAGTCATCTCATGTCTGTAGTCTTCTGTGCTATGCTCTGCCCCTTTTCTGTGCTATGCCCCTTTTCAAGGTCCTCTGCTACTGTACAAGGTCAGTTTTTCTCCACACTACATCATTACCTCAGAACTGTAAATATTTCATTCTACCCAGAATAACTAGTTTTTACTGCTGTCTATATAAAAAACTATGTAAAATTCAGGACAATGTTGGTGGTGTAAGTAGCAATACTGTATTTCTGAGATACAGGGCTACAACAGCAGAACTATGATCTGACTTGGAATTTCAAGGCTATTCAAATACTAGAAAACGCCTGATCAGTACATAACTTTATTGTTTATTTTGGTGCAACCAAATAATTGTCCTGAACCTAAAAAGAAATACACAGTGAAAAATATCACATTCATTTTTTCTTTTTAGCTGTGCTTGAGTGTTCTTGTGCCTTTGAAAACAGGGTACATAGGTCTTACAAGTATGTGTTGAATAAATAAAAGATGACTATGTCCTTATCTTTCCAGGTATCTCAGCAACAGTTAAGTTAATACAAGCATTAGTCACCATAAGTCAGAGTATTTTAGCATGTTAATAATTCTATAACCCCTTCCCACATGAACATCTCTCCTTCAAGATCACCCTTTTAAGATATATGATGAGATTGCACTCTCTTGTAAGGCAAAATCCCTTGCAGTCTTATTTGTGTTGTTCCACAGAAGATAACAGATAAATTTTCCTACTATGACTTTTATATTAAGTTGCTGATACCAAGGAATATAACTGAAGAATTCTTCCTAAGCAGATTACACTGTTGTGAAAGTTCTTGCTGAGTAAAGGCCTCAGTCAAAAACAGGCATTTATTCAATTTATTTTGAAAACATTGATTCACTGTACACTCCATAGTTGTCTAGAATATGTTTTGTTTCTGTCCATAGCAACCTGTGGTATAAGATGGAGAGTTCTTCATAAACATGAACACAGGATGAGCAAAAAGCAGTACAATATTATTTCAGAGTCAGTTCTGAGGATATTGTTCAGAGTGCAGTGATTTAGGATGACTCTTACTATCTGCCTCTATTTGTGACGTTTTAATTCACAGTCTGTGATGGTTTCTTCTCAGGGACAACAGTTACACGTTTTGTGACGTAGGTAACCATGGCTATGACAATGAATTTAAAAGTATGGAGGTAAGATGATTTCTATTCAAGTCTTGTGTCTTCTCATGAAGAAAATCAGAATGTGGTAGATGAACCAGGAGAATATATAGTAGTTTTAGCATTGTGATTTTTCTTACCTGTCATCCAGACATACAAACTGTGAACATGTATAGGGTTCACATATTGGTATTGCCTTTCATCAGTGTGTACAAGTCCAGCTTCTTTGGGATCCTGTAGTAAAACTTGTCATGGCTCACCTTAACTCCATGGAACCAGTAAATCAAGCATACTGTGTTCAGATGTGGAACACTAAGTTCTTTCCTTTTCTACTGAAGCAATGACTGAAAAATCTCCATAAACTCAGGGAATCCAATTGAACATCTGAAGGCCTGTGTGCTCAAATAAGCTAAATCTCATTTTCTCTGCTTGTCTTACAAGCCTTAGGCATGTCATCAGGGCAAAAAGATGATTAATATAGCCTGTATATTAATATAGCCTATTTTGAAATTTTGTCTCTTTCATGTCCTGTAACAGGTCTATTTAGAAGTCTTGAGCTTTTGAGCTCAAGAAGATATGTATTATCCATGTACTTTCTGTGAGGTGAAGCTTTAAGTAAGGTCAAGCATACCTCTACTAGTCCCATATCCTGTGCCTAATAATGAGATTCTTCCAGGTCTTCACAACTGTATTAAAACCACATGTCAATATACTGATCAGAATTGCACTCAGTGTTTGTGTTGGAAAAAAAAATAAATTCTGTTTGATGTAGAGACATTAATCATAGATAATCTTATGCTGCTGGCACAACGACTGATTAAAAATATTTCTTTATAAAGTAGTAATATGTCTTAATATTGTCTTCAAAAATATATTAAAAATTCCTTTTCTATTGTGAGAACATAAGAATATTATTTTAGAACAGACTGTTGTCCTGTTTAGTCATGTTTCCTGCCATCTCATGGCAGAGAGCTCAGAAGGCTTATGAAGCAATAGAAACTGATGTGGGACTGTAGGTAGTATCAGGGTTCCATTAAAATGCTTACAGATCCCAGCAAGGGATGTCCAGTACTAAATTGTACTGTTGGTGTTACTGACTTAGGTCTCAGCAAAGTTTGAGATGGGTCTCCCCAGTTCCCTAATGCTGGCTGTTGCCACAGCAATCAGCTCCTAACTATCCAAAGATTTTTGAGAATGCAAAAAAAATACAAAACCAAACTTTATATTTCTGGCTCAATATTAGCATTTAAATAGGATCTGTGAGTGCCAAAACTCTGTGTTTATTGAAGTTGTTACCAACTTTTGCAATGAAAATATAAAAATGTGTGAATTTGAAACACAACGAGCAATAATTTTCATAAGTATGTGTCAAAATATTAAAAAAAGATAAAATATTTTTTCTTAAAATTATATATAATGGGCAAAATTTTTCTTTTTTATCAGAGTAATCCTGTATTGTAATTTATGACTGTGATAAGACTATTTTGGTCCAGTGTCCCCATTTGCATGAAATACAAGTGAATTGTTTTTTTAATTTGGGTTCCTTTAAATAGATTTTTTTTTTCCAATCTAGGCTATATTCCTAGGATATGGCCCAAGTTTTAAAGAAAAAACAGAAGTGGATGCTTTTGAAAACATCGAGGTTTACAACCTTATGTGTGGTGAGTAGAAACAATCTAGTACTTAAGGTGATAAACCAGCAGTGCTTTCAAATACCAGTGTTGTGTGAGAAAAAGAAGAGTAACAAAAATTTTGGTGAATTCATTCAAAAGCTAGTTTTTTTCTCATACAATATGGAAGCCATGCTGTTTCACTTACTATATGGTGCTGAAAGATTAACTGCCAGAAATTATTCTGCTTTGGAGGTTGTTATTGACTGCAAAAGAAGTCCACTAAAGAACCATGGAGAAGTGCTCCTGCCATGTGAGCCTGCTGTCGAAGTGGTGTCTGTAGAATCATTTGGGGATCATAGAATCATGGAATCATAGAATATCCCAAGTTGGAAGGGACCCATAAGGATCATGAAGTCCAACTCCTGATAAGATAAGAACCTTTTAGAGAGTTACAACTCTTGCTCATAGCTTCGGATGAACCATAGCAGCCATGACAGTAAGCAATTAGGAAGTATGTTCTTCAGAAAATATGGATTAAAATGCAATAAACTAGTATGCTTACTAGAGTGAGTCCAGAGGAGGGCTACTAAGATGATTAGGGGTCTGGAGCAGCTGTTGTATGAGGATGGACTGAGAGCTGGGCCTGTTGAGCCTGGAAAAGAGAAGACTGAGGGGAGATCTCATCAATGTGTATAAATATCTGAAGGGAGGTTCTCAAGAGGATGGAACCAGACTCTTTTCAGTTGTGCCCAGAGATGAGAGGCAGCGGGAAGCACAGGAAGTTCTATCTGAGTATGAGGGGACATTTCTTTACTGTGAGGCTGACAGAGCACTGGCACGGGTTGCCCAGAGAGGCTGTGGAGTCTCCTTCTCTGGAGATATTCAAAACCCGCCTGGATGCCATCCTGTGCAATGTGTTCTAGGTGATTCTGTTGGCAGGAGGGTTGGACTAGATGATCTTCAGAGGTCCCTTCCAACCTCAACAGTTCTGTGATTTTGTGACTTGCAAACAAGTTTGTACTCTGCATAAAATCATTTAATCTCAGGAATGTTATGGCAATGTATAAAACTGCATGAACAGTACTCAAGTACATAGATTACCAAATCTTGATGTAGTGGAAGAAGATATCAATGAACCTTTGAAAATGGAAAATTGCAAGATAGTGATAGTTAACTTAATGGTTTAAATAATTGAATAAGCTGTTTGTTCTACATTTAGAAAAAAATGCACAGAAAATGCATATTGGTGGAGAGTCTATTTAAAATGATATTCTAGTCTTAAAATAGCTTTAAAAATCATTTAAAATTTCAAAATTTCCAACAGATCTGCTACATATTACACCAGCACCAAACAACGGAACACATGGCAGCTTAAACCACCTGTTAAAAAAACCTTTTTACAATCCTTCACATGCAAAAGAGGAGTCATCTCCTTTATCATGTCCGGTTTCCAGTCTGGTTCCTGCAGATAATTTGGGATGCACATGCAATGTAAGTAGGAACTTTTGGAATCTTTCAATCATCCTTTTCAAGTGTGTTCTTTTTTCTTTGATTTTTCTAAACACTTGATTCATTCTGAAGGATTCTCTGATATTTTACAGATCACAGATCTTTCAGTAGTAAACAAGAGGTTAAATCTCACCACAGATGAAAGTAAGTAAAAAGAAATGAAAGGGACAGCAGTATTTTTAAATCTATGCCTGTTTTATATTTTAAGTTACTGGTTTCAATGGGAATTTTTGCAACGTTAATTGCAATTTGAAGAGAAGTAGGTGAGCCAAGTCAGAAGCATTTTCTTGTTTTTCTTGTTTCCCTGCATTTCTTTAAAAGATACTAATTGATACTTTTGTAGTGGCATTTATGCACAAGAACTAGATCTGAATCCCATTAAAATCTTGAGAAAAACCACACAGTTTTCAGTGGAAAACCTGAGTACTTCTGAACTATATGGCATATCTTTTTTTTGCTATCTTGCAACCGTATGTTTGTCTTTGATGAAAAATTCTCGTACTACCATGTTTTTCTATAAGGTTTCTGGAAATTTTATGAAACATTTCAATGTTTGCTAGCCTAATAGCTCTCTTTCCACTGGCAAAATGAATTCAAAAGATTTATATTCATAAGAAATTGCAAAGAAATGAGAATTTTCATGTCTGATGTCATATCATGTTGACCCGCTACGTTAAACAAAATGAAAACTATTTTCTACATATCTTTATTCCACTTAGAAGCTAAGAGCTTAAATAAATACATGCTTGTGTTTCTTGTCAGTTCTGTCTCTATTTGTTAATGCTTTAATTTACATTTTGCTTTGTGTTTTTTCTCCGCTGGCTTAAACCTTTGTGTCATCAGAAATGTTATAGAAGAATGAATCAATCATTTTTTCTTAAATTATAGTAAAGAATGTAACCTCATACCATTTGCCATATGGGAGACCCAAAGTTCTTCAGAAGAACAACATTTATTGCCTCCTTCCCCATTATCAGTATGTGAGTGGATACAGCCATGATATCTGGATGCCACTGTGGACTGCATACACTGTGAATAAGCCTGTAAGTTATCAAACATTTGTATCATTCTTAAATGTCTAATACAGTGGACTGAAAATGTTGTGCATTCATTATGAATACTGGTTAAGAACAGGTGGATATTATATGACCGAGGCCTTTATTTCTGAAAAGGAAAAAGTATCTATGACATCTGTCAAATTTTAAGCATCTAAAAATATGTTTAAATAAGTGGGAATGGCCATATGTTAGGGACACAAAAGATATAAAAGAAGTTCATTCTGTTAAGCCAGTTCTTTAAAAGAGATAAAGTGTCAAAGTTGCTCCAACTTGCCTGTCAATTCCTGAGCAAAAAAAGGTCTGTGATTTCCAAAACAGGAACTTTTAAGTTTTTTAATGATTATCATAGTCTTTATCCTACTAACAAACCATTATACAACTCCACAAGACAATTTGTACTAATGCATGTGTTTTGCTTATTTGTTCTCTATTACGTTATATAATTTATGAAATAACCATTACATCTGAATGAAACTCTGAGAGTTCAAGGGTATACAACCCTAGAAAAATCTGAGTTCCTGGGGTCTGTAAACTAGTGGACATTCATGAGCTTAATCCACTGTATAATTTGACCCTTTTTCTATATATTTCTATATATGTGTACATTTTATCTGTACACATATCTACACACATATGGGGAAATTATTTTAAACAAATATATGCTGCTAGAATGTTTGAATTTCAGAAAGTTTTACTCTGTGCTTTATACTAATTTTTCGTAATCTGGGTGGAAGATCATAAATCCAACCCTAGCAAGGCTTAAAATGTAGTGAAAAAAATGTCAATTTCAACAAAGATTATTTTTACTTCATTGTTTTTGATGATCTGCTCTTACAGCCTGGTATGAAAGTGCAATACCATACTGAAAACCAATTAATTGTGGGCAGATTTTTCTTCTGAATTTGTGTAATTACAAAATCCCACCAGAGCTGAGGTCTTTTTAATATTTCAACAACAGCAGCAAAAAGCTCAGAAAATCAAGTTACTTTTCAATCATTTTCTTTTGTTGAAAACCAAATTCTCAGTTGGAAAAGTTCTTGCCCAAAGTAACATCTAAGTCAACACAAATACATATGTGAGAGTTTCTGGTAGTGATTTATGCAACGTTGTGGGAAGCGGTGAATGATTAAGACAGAAGTACTAGAGTGTATAGCTCACAGCAGACTAATGCAATTATGTACGTTTCCTATAGAAAGAATAGGAAAGAATAAATTTTCTCTCTAGTACTCTTGGAAGCACAGTGATGAAAGGTTGTAAGTTTAAGAGTCAGCTCAGTTACTAACATACCTTACACAGAAAGCTGACATCACAATTTTAATTTAATCACAACATGTAACACTTGAGGAAAAGCTTCACAAGTTGTGACAGCAGTGCAAGGACAGAAGGCTACAGCTACTGCCTTTGACTGTGAACTTTGGCTACAATACATGGGAATGGCAGAAGACTGCAATTTCTACGTAATTTTAATGTCTCTTACATTATTTATGTTTCCAATAAAGCCTGTGCAGAGATTTATACGATTTGCAAGATGGGGTATTTTTTGACAGTAGATAGCTATAAAGAAGGGTTTAAATCCTAAAACAAGTGGTACAGGCTGAAGTTCTGCTGGTTTTGTGGGATTTAGAAGTTTTGAAACTGGGCTGGCTGATGAAGCCAGCACACTTGCACACTTGCACTTGATACAGAATCTGGGATATCATGAATAATATATAGTTACAGATTTTAAATAAATGATGTCAGACCTTAGGTTGCTTAGTATTCTCAGTCAAAAATATGTATATATATTGAAGGATTTTTTTTTTTGAGGCTTTATACTTATCTGCCAGGGAAGAAGGCAGATTTTTCTTGCAATAAGATTTTCCTCCACCTGTCCGCAGACAGCTACGGAATGTGGAATATCCTTGCTGTATATAACCATTTGTGAATTCAAATTTTACAGTGGAAGTGCAGTTTTATTTGCCATTCTGAGCTTTCAAGAGGTTTCCTATGTAGAAATCTGGAGCATTTTTTGAGGTTAAAGAAAATTACATGCAAGAATTTTTAAGTTTACTATAAAAATGTATAAAAATGTATAATAATCTAATCTATTTTATGATGAAAACTGCAACGATAGATGTCTAAGTCACTGGGGTTTTTGGAAATACAGCTCAGTGCACTAGAATAATGGAAGTTTTGTTTTGTGTGGTTTGGCATTTTTTCTTCTTGATTACTGAAAAAAGATTCCTGGAAGTGGCTGAAGTTGACATGTCAGACCACAGCAGATGCTCAAGTCTGTCATGTAATGTAAATGTCTCATGCTTCTCAATGTTAATTATGAATTAGTCAAAAGACAAAAACTTGCATCAGAAAAGGTAACGCATAGTGTGGCATGCAATGCTATTTTTTTTACAGTTGTAACTGCATTCTTTACGACTCATTATGTTTTTTTTGAACTCAAAGACAAGGAGCCAAACAGCTAAACCTGTCCTGATTCTGAAATTTTGAGAAGGTGGTTATCAGTGTCAAGACCTCATTTCTTAATAAATCAGCCCTTCCAACAGCTTCTTTGAGAATCTTTCTATTCTTATTGAAAGAATACCTATTTAAAAATAGCTAATTTCTCTCTTTTGAGGAAGAGGAATGAAGAGAGGTAGTAGAGTGAATATATTAGTTTACAGAGCAACAAAAATAAGGCTTGCAATCTTGTGTTTCACTAACTGTTAATCTCATTGTACTAAAAGATGACATAGGTACCCATTCTCATCTCTTGGAAGCTTTTGATATTATTTACCACCTGACTTGTAGATCTTTGAAGAAGCAAGCTGAAATATTTTTGAATGGTTGCTTTTTCAATATTTTGAGAGTTCATATGGTGTTCATTATGAATTCTCATTTCTTCAGTTGAATTTTCTCCGGTGTTGCTCAATGTAAACAGCCATGAGCAATTTATATCTCCTGAATGTATGAGAGTGTTTCAGAAAATACAGGATGTATGATGTAGTACATACATGAGACAACTCTAAACCACTGTCTTCCTGCCTTGGCACCTGTATTACAGCTCATATTATATAGATAGCTTCAAGTAGAAGCTATCAGACGTCATATATTAGCCTAGACATCAGGAAGAGGTTCTTCAGTGAGAGGGTGGTTGCACACTGGAACAGGCTCCCCAGTGAAGTAGTCACTGCACCAAGCCTGTCTGAATTTAAAAAGCGATTGGACTGCATACTTACATGTAGTAACATAGTCTAATCTTTTGGATAGACCTGTGTGGTGCCAGGAGTTGGACTTGATGATCCTTATGGGTCCCTTCCAACTCGGGATATTTTGTGATTCTATGATTCCACGTAACATAAGATAATAAGGGAAGAGTTGGGGGATATTCTCATGGCTTCAGGCTGGAGAAAACACGAATGATCTTGAAAACCCAGCATCATGATACATGTCTAAAAGTAGACTCATTGCTGTATTTGGATAACATAGGTCAGGCCCCTACATTTAGTGAGAATTAAAATGAAGTTCTCTTCAGGACAGCCCTTGTCATGTTTACTCTGACCCTTGTTACTTTGATTCATATTTTCATTCAGGGACCATGGAGAAATCGAACCTGTTGTTGAATATCAGAGCTTAATTATTAAGTTAGTTCCTTCTGGGTGAACCTGATCTGTTAACCCAGCCTGACTGATTTCAACACTAGAAAGGACAAATTACAGAATTGAATTGGGTGTCAGTTTTGTATTGGGATTTACATTTGCTTAACAATGACGGTTTATCTTCTCAGATGGCAAAAACGGCCTTTTGTATTTTATATTTCATTGCATGAAGTATATGTATTTTCCATTAATATTTAACCTGACTGTGATATGAACATCTTTAGAATTCACATGAAAGTAAGTAAAGAAATTAAATCAAGAATTGTGAAGAGGCATGAGAAGAACTTACTTTCCACTTTTTTTTTTTTCTTTTTTCCTGCTTGGTTTAAACCAATCAAAATCTACTATGTGCTAAAATTCAATTTAGATGTTTAACTTTTTCATGTAAAGATGTAAAAATTAAATGTGTTGCATTCTTACCAAAATGAAAATAAATAACACGTAAATAAGTATGAAAAAAGAAAGTGTAGTTAAATACAGAAACACACATTCTCATGTTTTATTTAATGCTATTGTATAATATAAGGCTGTAGAAACAATTACACTAATCAGAATCACTTTTGGCCAGGTATTAGCTAGTGTGTAATGCAAACATTACTCAGCTGAATTTAGTGAAGCTAGCCAGTAAAATGTGCTGAATTTTCCCTGAATTTATTTAACTTTAACTCTTCAGAGGCACAGACTGTTATTATTGAGATAATATTCTCAGATGTTAAGGTGTAGTGTTATTGCCACCTTTATATATAAACTGGTTTGCAGGAGGATGTGAAATCATGTTTGTGTTTCCATAAGTTTGTAAAAGGGAAGAATGAGACAAAGTTGTCACCTGTTTTTGCCTAAGGTATAACTTTATTTTTCCTAATACAGTTTTAATCCTTATCCTGCATAAGGATTTCACTGAATTACCTGCAAAAAGAAGTAGAGGAAAAATACTTGCACAGAGTGCATCAGTGTCCATTACTTGCATTGGCCTGATTCATTATGAAAACAGGAGAAAATTCAGTGAAGACCATTCTAGAAAGTTAAAAACATACAGAGCATTATGTTAGCCACAGCTGTGGGTGTAATACGTTTTTTTTCCCTTTTCACAGGAAAGCACATCTTCTCTTCCTCCCACTGGTTCAGACTGTCTGCGGGCTGATGTTAGAATCCCTGTTGCTCATAGCCAAAATTGTTCCGACTACCCAGAAGGACTGAACTTGACATATGGTTTCCTCTACCCTCCCAGTGAGCATGATTCTTTTTATAGCTGGAGCATAGAAAGTCTTAATCAGCTGGATGTGGGTTTATGTTTAAACATATACCCAAACACCAAAACAAACTTCTTTGGATCAGCATGTTGGGCAGAAAAAGGTTTCCAGTGTTTGTAGACTGACCGAAAACTGGACAACTGCTACTTGTATCTAAATATTTTCAGCTTAGAACATTTACGTTTTTCTTTAGAAAATGGAGTAACTTGACTGTGATGAAAACTGATCGGAAAGATGTAAAAGGATTTGAGTGAAGAGCTCCCCCTATTCCTCTGTATGAATATTCCTTTTCTATTGACCAATTTGATAACGACTGTATTGAACAGGTTGTAGAAACAAATTTGGAGATACTAGTTTTGGAGGAGGATCATACACTGATGCTCAAATATCAGCTTCAGTTGCAAATGGATAGGAATCAGATAGGCACAGAGCCTTTTTAATCATACCGCAAAGGTACAACACAATTTAATATATTTTGGAAGATACTTTATTTCTGGGGAGCTTGCTTCATAGAGAGATGAAATCAAAAGAAAACACATCTAATGAAAGTGGAATAACCTGGAAATTACAACAGGTGATAAATACAGTGACTTTATGCTCTAATCGTTCCTTTCCAGTCTACTCTGTGAGCGAATAAATTAGAATAATTCATATTACATGTGAAAAACAAAACAAAAGAAAAGAAAAATCCTGTCATTGGTATTTGATGTAATTATGACAGAAACTTTCTATCTAGCCCATATAGTTCAGACATAACTGTGTCTTTGTATATGGCTTCATGTGTTGTGTTCTGACTTCTGTGGAGTAGCAGAAAATTTAAATGTTAAGAAATGTAAAGTGATTTAATTACATGTACCTGAAATTTATAGTGACATGTGTATCAAATAGGTCTTTGTATGGCATTTCACTAATATATACTTTATTCTTTTATATAGACTTCAGTTCATCCACTCTTGAACAGTATGATGCCCTACTCACCAGCAATATTGTTCCCATGTATGAAGCTTTCAGAGGTAGGATGCAAGATTTTGACTATTGTAGATTTGATATAGCTATGACAAGGGCTTAAGTCATGGCCTTCAGTATATCCAGATCTCATGCAAATATACTTAAATCTTTTTAAAAATAGATATGTGAAATTTTACAATACACTTACATGAACTATTTTTTTTTTAATGTGTGTAGTCCTCTGCTTAGGTGTATGTAACATTAAATGCTAGCTATGGAACTTGTAGAACAACATCCCGATGGGGAAAGGCTTGAGATGAAGGAAAATGGCACATTTTCTTTTCTTTTGCAAGGTCTCAAGGGAAGACAGGACAAAGTTTGTTAACAGTGCTCTGATACCTGATGTTTCATCAAAAAGAACTTCAAAACAGATAATGTAGAATATTTCTTTCAGGCAGATATTTCTATCACATGAGTACAGTAAGCTACATTAACCCTTTCCAACTAACTTGACTTGCATTTGTTTATAATCATTGATTAGAATTTATACAAATGCCTATTGTCCTGTTTTGCTTTTAGGTTTATACTCATTCTCATAGACAAAGAATAGAAAGAGAAATTACTGAAGTAAATGATCTGGGCTGAGGCTGGGGCAATCCCAAGCACAAATACAGACTGGGCAGAGAATGGATTGAGAGCAGCCCTGAGGAGAAGGACGAGGAGGAGGTGGTGGATGAAAAGCTTGACATGAGCTGTCAATGTGCGCTTGCAGCCCAGAAAGCTAACTGCATCAAAAGCAGTGTGGTCAGCAGGTCAAGGGAGGTGATTCTGCCTCTCTGCTCTGCTCTTGTGAGACCCCACCTGGAGCACTGTATTCAGCTCTGGGGCCCCCAGCACAAGAACATGGAAGTATTAGAATGAATCTTCCTTCCTTGGAAGTATTCAGGGCCAGGTTGTATGGGTCTTTGAGCAACCTGGTCTAGTGGAAGGTATCCCTGCCTATGGCAGGAGGGTTGAAACTTTGCCTTTGATGAGATGGCCTTTGAGGTCCCTTCCAATCATTCTATGATTCTATGATGTAACTACTTTTCTAATACATTCAGACATCATTTATTCGTTCACTCATCATATAAAAAATAGAGATCTGGAAAACCTAAGTTGCCTTATTCTTCCAAGTAAATCAAAGACATTATGGAAAATCCAGTGTTCCAAGGAAAACTACAAGAGACTACAAGAAACTACAAGAAAAACTTACAAGAAGTTACTATAGGCCATAAACAAGAATAAAAGAATAAATCTATAGAGGGTACCTCCCAGCCCTCCGAACCCATGTTTTCTTTTTTTCCCCCCTTGATAACTGCAAATATTCAAATAGTCTTACTAGATTGTAACCTACAAATTATATTTGCCCAAATAACATTTGTGAAATAAGACATTGCCTAGTGATATTTGACATGAGTTTTGTAGAGTTAGGCTAACTCTCAGGTGGTAAATATTCCTTTCTCAAAGCCATTATCTTGGATTCTACTAATTGGCACAGTTTTGGGTGCTAGCCCAAGGCCAGAAATAAATGGCCTTTCAGCTTTATAATTATCCATTTGAAGACAAAGGTACAATGAATTATATCCAGTAGTGCAATGGAGCTTGCAAGAGGTATAATAGCATTTACCATTACCCTTTGAATGGTGAATGACAATCTGTACTTTCTGATGAAATCCAAATTGTGTGTCAGGAGTTGATTTTACAGGCAGTTTAGTTTGGATTTTTTTTTCTTATGTATCTGTAACAAAAACAAACAAACAAAAAAGACAAGGTATTCTTTTTCTTTAGTGCAGAAACAACCCCAATTTAAAGTTAAATCTGCTTGTATTTTTTATTTTTTTATTTTTTTTAATTGCAGACATATGGGACTATTTCCATAATGTGCTTCTTCAGAAGTATGCCAGAGAAAGGAATGGAGTAAATGTTATCAGTGGACCAGTATTTGATTACAATTATGATGGCCATTTTGACACTCCTGATGAAATTACACAGTAAGTACACAGAAAAGCCAAAGGTCAAGCTCTGGACTATTTCCCACTGTCCCCAAATAAGCCTTTTTTTCAGAAAGAATGAAAAAACAAGTGTCAAGGAGAACTGAGTCTTCCCCTTCTAATGATACATCCACTGTTACTCATACAATGGCAATTTCTCTTGTAAACAGGTACAATACTGTAAAAATTGAAGTTCCAGTAAAGAGAAAAAGGCTTTGCAGTTACATGTGTAACTATGTACATATGCACAGATACTGACCAGTAATTTACTTCCTAAGTTTATGCTTAGACTTTTTGTCCTCTGTAGTGGAAATACTGGAAGAATATATGACATCTTACTATATGGAGGATGTGCTTGAGTGCAGTTTTCTTGCTTTTATGTTTGTGCCCACTCAGCTATTTGTTGTTTCTCCCTGTTTTCTCAAACTTTGTTTTAGCAAAGATCAGTTTTGCATGTTCAATGCATTCATGTAGCCGGGTATGTAACGTGTAACATTCCTGAGAGGTACTTTTGGCTTTCATAAAACGGAATTCCATAAAAGAGAAACATAAAAGATAAAGACCAAGTATTACTAGGGAGTAGTGAAAGTAGAAGGGAAAAGACCAAAAACCAAACCAAACAAACAGACAAAATAACCCAAAGCAGAATATGCAAACAACTTGGGTTGTTCCAAATATAGGGAAAATACCTTTTAACAGTAAGGACACTTACGTAGTAGAAAAATGCTTGGAAATCTGCACTGCTGAATCTGTCTTTGGAGATGTTTTATTCAAGGCTAGACTTAATACCACATCTGTCAAAAATGGTTTGAGAATGGGAAAATCAACCCTGCCACGAAGTAGGAGGGTGGAAGGGAGGAGAGACTGGAACTTCCTTCCAAGCAGAATGCCTTAATGCGCAGTCAACCACATAATTTTGTCTACAGTTTTGAACAAGCATGTTCCATTCAGCATGTTATTCTGTCATAGTAAGCAGAACAATGGTTTCACTCATGGTGTTTGGTTAAATTTTGAAGAAATACAGCAAATTTGGGAAGCTCCTCATAAGTTTATACACAGAAGTGGCCATGCTAACGGAGTAACTAATAAATACAGGAAAAGACATTTTGAATTAGGTATCCTAAACTGGTGGCATATAACCACAATTCGTCATTCTGGCATTTCTTGTTGACAAGAATCAGATACTGATTTTCTTTTCTCTCTTCTTTTGCTCATTTACATGTGGTTGAAATTCTTAATGTAATGAAGGGCACATATGATGCTCTATCATGCCCCATTCAGATGTAAAGGTCTCTGAGTTTGACAAAGCAGTGTTGAGCACATAAGCAATTCTGTAATTTTCAGTAGGACTGCTTGTAGCAAAAGGACTAGTCCATGCATGTTTGGCTATTCAAGAAACAGATATTGAGACTATGAATCCCCCAAGCTTTTTATTTCAATCATAAGAAAAGTAGAAGTCATATAACAGTGAAAGATCTGTACTGAGATGAATTCTATAAAATACTAGTGGTATCAATGGTTATTACAGTTGATATCCAGATAAATCCCTTAACTGATGTTTGTTTTATAGGCATGTAAACAACACACAAATCCCTATCCCAACCCATTACTTTGTGGTTCTGACTAGCTGCAAGAACATATCCTATACTCCCCTGAACTGTACAGGCTCTTTGGATGTTCTGTCTTTTATCATTCCTCATCAACCTGACAACACTGAAAGCTGTGCTGTAAGTATAGTTTTATGTTTCTATGTGCAAATAACCTTTGTGAACTGATTCCCAGTGTGATACAGTTATCTGGAGAATCATTAGATGTCTAAGATATTTAGACTAGTATTTAGGTAAATTCATTCCCAGTAGCTGAGCATGAGTTGAGAGATAATGAAGACTAGGAGAGCAAGAAGCTCCAGGAAAAGCAGCAGGTACCAAACCAGCTGATTGGAAGCAAGTGAAAAGAATAAATGAGGGTTTGATAAGAGGACTTGGAAATAGTGTCACCTGACAGGTTAGTGAAAAGGGCTGAGAAAAGCAGAACAAACAAGTTTGATGAAATATCTGTATGGAAGTCGGCAAGATAAACTTACTCCAGAGGTATCAAAGGTTTGTTACTCTCTTCAGTGGAATTCCTTCAGTCCTTTGTTCCGTGTTTGTCAGAAATTAGACAGCAGGCATTTAGATTGATCATTCTGCAGTTGAAATTCACAGTTAACAATCAGAAATACATACTTTAGTTAAAGAAGACATACATGTACATATATGCTTTCCACTAAGAATGCAACTCTCACATTTTGTAGCAAACAATAAAAATAAATTAGTGGAGTATAACTTGTATTGATAAACCAATGATTGGAATATATCTATTCCATAAGCCCTGAGAGGCAGAAGGTTCCTTAGCTCGGTGTCTCTATTAGTCTTCCCACAAAAAAGTATAGCTGTACAGACTTGAACTAGCTTTCGAAGCAATGTAATAGTGTTTATTTAATTAGTGATTTTGAACTCATAACTCCAGACGGGTACAAGCTTATTGCTTAGAAAGCACTTGGGTATCTCCACTTCTTTGTTGTTGTCATCTCAGAGTTGACTGAATGCACAAAATAAATAATATTTATGAATTAACCTTTATACTTTAGCAATCTGTTGTTCTAAAGTTTAGCAAAAAAACCTCAATATTGTTGCACTCCGTAATTTTCATTGTGTTCTGTGGTAACATAAATTCAGTGAACTATTGTGTCAGAAGAATATATTGGTAACAGAAAAGCACATTATCATCTGTTTGCATAAAAACTTTGCAGGTAAATAATTCAGATTATTTGATTGTGCTTATATTGCATCGATTAGAGCTTGTATTTCCATTTTTTCCTTGTCTATCTAGCAATTATTATTACTCTCCAACAATCAAGGCTAAGCTGCTGTAAAAACTTTGTTCAGGTTCTCATATACCTGTTTTTTGGCTAGCCTGAGTACTGTAGTTATTTTGTACAGTAACTAAACTATCCTGACTTGGTTGTTTAAAATAAGACTCACATGTACTTTGTAGTTAAAAGCCATATTTGCCATTTCAGCATGATTTTGCTTCTTTGTTACTCTGGAAGTGGTGAGAGGGGACATCCCTTTGCCTCTGTGTAAGTGAGATCTGTAAAAGCAAGGCTGCAAAGATGTCTAGGAAAACGTGAAAAAAGTTTTACAAACTGAAGGCCTTTAATGCCATAAAAGGCACTTTCTTGTGTGGTGGCTGTGTTAGACAATGACCAGTGTTTGAACATTGTTCTTGTTTCTTTTGGCAGGAAAATAGGTTGCCTTCTGAATGGGTTGAAGAAAGAGTTCAGGCTCATTCGGCACGTGTTCGTGATGTGGAGCTGCTAACTGGGCTTGACTTTTACCAGGAAAGACAGGAATCCGTCTCTGAGATCTTACAGCTAAAGACATATTTACCAACATTTGAGACTGAAATTAACTGACTTTGTGTTTAAAAAGTGGTATTTGGAAGAAAGAAAATCAAAGTGATTTCCTTGCTAAATAATGCAGGAAAAATTACTACAACTCCTCATTAAGAAAATACACAATACACAACTACTTTTGTTTTCAGATTCGTGTTCTTCAGTCAAGTGTTTTGTATGAACTAAATAAAAATTATCTTAATGTACTTAAATTGTCATTGCTAAGCCAATTTTCTAAATTGAGAATATTTTAATGCAAATGGTTTGGGGAAAAACAAACAAACAAACAAAACCTGTAAAAGGAACATGTTTCGTAGTAGAGAACCCAGAACTGTAAGCTGTATAGAAACTTTCTACAATGGAGCTGGAAAGTGAAACATTTTGAAAGGACTGTGTGTGCTTTTCCCCTTGTGTTTATCAGTGAGGTTAAGGTTATCTAATACTAGTATGCCCTGGAATGTCCTGAATTCCTCTTTCTTATCCAATTCACACGGAAACTCCTATGTACTTAAAAAAAAAAAAAAAATCAGACTCACATAGAATCTGTATATAGTGGACTTGTCTGCTATGACCATCCATTGTCTTTTCCACTTGAGTTAATTCATTATACTAGTAACAACTGAAGTGAAATTAGAGTCAATGAGTAATCTGTATTCCGTACAGTTCAGAAACCTTAATGTATTCTGAACAAGAAGAGGTGAAAGAAACACTCTGGACAGAAGGATTTTGTCAGGATATTTACCTGTATTTGCAATGATTCATGAATCTGGCAACTCCAAAATATTTGTGTTTATTTTTAAATAGTTAAACCTGAGATTAGAGGATGAAATTAGTGGTAACATGCAAAAAAATGGTCAGTGTTACTTTCCGTAGTGACTTTATACACAAAAAATCTCTCAAACTGCACTGTACAAAAATTACTGCTGTGAGCAGGTCAGCAGGACAAGGCAGCGGAAATTCCCCAATTCTGCTATTACAGAAATGCTATGTGTTAATTGAGTGTTGAGCTGATTTTCTCCAATAAAAGTGCTATTAAATACAGGTATGAATAACAGCAGACAATTGACCATTTGGCTTGTTTGTAGGCACAGTGGGGAGTTTTGAAGAAACATGTTAGAGTGTTTCAATTTTTAACTAATTGTAGACTGAAGAAGATATGTCTCTTTAAAAGGAAGTCTTAAAAACTTGTAGAAAAAAATTACTTTTCCACATCTTAAGTGAGCTGTTTATTCACGTATACTCCAAGCATAGTTTAGCAATATTTATCATACATCAAGATGTGGGACCAAGGTATCACACATGGCAGGTACTAGATTTAAACAGCTGCAAAATTAATTCACTGTCCTTCTTCACAAACTTATCTGGAATTCCTCTTTATTCAAATGTCTACCAACCCTCTCCTCCTTCCCTAAACCCACCCCACCCCACCCTGCTGATATACGTTGCCCCTTCTGTATGAACACCCCTGCCTCTCAGGCTGACAAAAAAATGTATTTCTCATTAAGTATTGTGTAGCATCTAACACAAGAGGATCTTGATCACATATACGGATTTTAAACAAACTTTTGTGTGAACGGAGACTGAAATTGCAGTTATTCTAAAAAAGCAAATTTGAAAGTGTTTTTGCCAGGGTTGGTTTGCCATTGCTTCTGGCAGTATTGTTTTCCCTCTTCTTCTCCCCCAAGACTGTTACATCCATCAGTGAGTTGATCTTGTGGTTTCACATAACTCCTTGAAACTTGCATGCTTTGTGATTTACAGGAAAAAATATGGGAGTTGTTCCCCCTCCACACATACTAAGCGGAAGAGACTAGGGAGCCCAGTCATCAATTGATTTAAAACATGTCTGGATTTAGGACTGATTTGGTGGAAAATTCCCCTTTCCCAGTTACATGAACCAATGTCTGCATTAGAGATTGGGAGAACTTTTAGTCTTGTCTTGTATGTAATGTATGGTATATAAAATATCTTACTAAAGAGGACACTTGCAGCAAACATCATTTTTAGAATACTCCCATTTATTTCTGTGCCTGGGGAATTCAGAATAGAGTAAGTAGGCAAATTATCATCTTGATATGTTCAGTATGAACTCTAGTGCAAAAAGTGCTCAAACCTGTAACCTCAGATAGGTACCTAGCAGTGAATGTGTCTGAAACTCTTCCAGTAAATTAGCAAGTGTTTTTAGGTTACTATTAATAATCTTTTATTCTAGATAACTTATAGATATACCATGCCACACCGATTATTATAAGAAATCTGGATTTTATGACTCATAATGACTTCAAAGAGCTTTAAATCAGGTTGATAGAATCATGATTAGGGGTTGGATTTGGTCCTGTTTAACCCCCTTGCATCACATAATCAGAGCTGAAAATGTATTTATTTATTTATTAAATACAATCTTCCGCCATTTCACATGAAATATTAAATACAGTCTTCTGCCACTTCATACAAAAACACTCCATACTGTGTGTATAGGGTTGCATTACCAGTAAGGGTATAGCCTGAAGTTTCTAATAGTTCCCTAAGATGTTTTTATGGATCTTCTGCTTGTTGAAAGAGAATAACTTCTGCAATATGCATAGAGGTGGGAATGAAGAACTGCCTCAAATGCCTCAAACAGTATTCATAGGCCACTAAAGCTAGAAACTTCAACACAGTCATTTGAACAATCTAAATATATACATATTAATTCAAATAAAATTAAATTTTACCATTTCAGCTGCTTACATTTCAAGACTCTCAACAATGGTTGTGTTACTCAATTCTAGACAGCATTACAAATGCAAAGAATACTTTTCTTCATTAAAATTATCAAATAAATTAAATTTCTGATATATAAAACAGAGTAGAAGAGGGATATATTCCATATTGCACTTCAGGCAGTGAAACTACATGCAACATTGTCAGAAGTCTACTTAGGTCATGCTCTTAGGGCATGCTATAGGAAAGCAGGACAAAATAGTGTTCTCCAGAAAGAATGTATACAACTGATATTTTTAACTCAGAAATGCTTACCAATGCAAACACAGAAACAGTACAAGGTACAACAAATTGACAATAACACATAATAAAACCATCTTATAGTAAATATTTACTTTACTCTTAGAAACATTTTCCTCCTTTGATAAGCACTCTGAAGTGTTGTGAGAACTAAGAAATAATGTTGATTCTGAAAGGTTAAAGCTTGTCCTCTTTTCTAGGGGATGTACATGTAACTTTCCAAAAAATGACAAGTCCTTTTTTTGTGTGTTTGTCAGCCAGTTTTGGGAGACCTAAGTATCAAGCCGTAGTGAAATAGATATAAATCAATCTGCTGACTATAAAAACAGATGAGTCCTGGCTCTCATAGCCAATTTATGAGTGAGAATTCAGAATATAAATTCTGTAAAACATGATTTTCCTTTGTCCACTATTGAAACAGAAACTGAACACACCTGTAGCCATTGAAAGTCTGAACTCAGGGGGATCTGAGTGTTTCCCTCTCTTCTGTTGACCTTTTTTCAGTATTAGAAACAATATGTAAGTAAATATAGAAATTTGGCACTATCTATAGCTAGTCTTGTTCCTGCATAAAGGCACGGTAATATGGGAGAGAACAAGTGAGGAAAACACAGCTTACCCTGCCCCAGAAAATCCTGCAGCCAGAGCAAGGAAAAGCCTAAGAACATTTATTTAACAAGTGCTACCACATTTCCCTTTGTACCACACCCTGGCCCTCAGAGACTGTCACCATGTAAAAACACACTTATTTTTTTTTCTCCTTTAATATTTATTACAGACACTGTTCACTTTTTGTCAGTACCTCACTGAAGGCTACCTTCAAATGAGTGCAGACATTTAAATGGCACAGAAAACTTTTGCCATTTAATTCTGTGCCAATACACTGGCACAGAATACTCTTGACTCATTTCTTGGACATTCTTCCTCTAGGAGAATAGGATCAATGGATATAGACAGGGCTGATTTTCACCTCCCATGGTGATTCTGCAATGTTTGCACATAAGATAATAGGATTTTTCATATTCAAAATGTGCAACTGTGTTTCTAACTGTACAGTTTCTATGCATTGCAGAGTCCCTGCCTGTGGTTGAATTGCTGTCCATAAGGAGTCAGGTAAAATTGTTGTGCATCCTGACCTGATGTCTTGGGAGAAGAGGAGGCACCTACCTCTTCTCAATCAAGCCACACTTCCCTTCCCAAAGACCTTTTCCCTGGAGATTGCTGGGATAACTTTCCTTCCCAAAGTCTGGAAATAGCAGAAAGTCTGAATCCTTCTCAGTCCCTTTGGGCAGAAATCAAAGAACATGACAGCCCTCAGAGGGATGAGAGGGGAGGAGCATGAGTTGGAATCAGTCATGGTTACAATTTAGGGCAGCTTCGGGTTTGGGATTACCCAGACATGAAGCTGGGGTGTCTTTTGCCAAGGATCCAAATTACTTTTGGGTATATGTTAAGCAGACATGGCAAGTGATGTGCCAGATCAGAAACTGCCCACTGACCAGGAAGCCATTAAGGAACGAAACTTGGTGACAGCCTGCTTAGTCTGCAATTGTTAAAGCTAGCAGGAGAGCAAATGCTTCCCGAGCCCAGCTGCAAGGAGGGCAGGTCTCCAGGCCCTACTCCATGCAAGAGAAATGTGCGTGGGAAGAAGAGGACTCCTGCTTTTCAGAGGCTCTCCAAGGAAAAGCAAACTTGCTGAGCTTTCTTTGGTGTCTGGCTTGCACCAAGTCAGATTTCCGGCTAACATGGGGACCAGCTCACCTGTCACACGCGTGTGCACAGCACTAGGGACTGCAGAGAGCCTTGCTATGAGCTGAGGGGCAGGAAGGTCTCTTCTGAGCAAGTGGCGGGCACAACCTTTCCTTCAGGAGAAAGCAGAGGCTGTAGTAACGTAGGTAGTTGGTGGTGAGGAACTCATTTCTCTGGCTGATTGTGCCTCAACACCAGATGTTGTTTACTGTTATGATGACAGCAGGAGATGATTGAGAAATCACTCTTACAAGCAACATGGTGGGACACGTGAATTTTGGCTATGTTGTGACTTCAGCAGGATCAACAGTTCACAAACAGATATATACCAACAATACCAACTCCAGATGTGCATGTAAGGTACAAAAAAGATGACCGAGGCCTTTTAGATAATTTTCATGACTGCTTGTAGGGCTGTGTGGCTGAAAGAGAAATGAGCTATGAGTTCAGGTCCTCACTTTGATGGGAGCACTTTAAGCAAATGCTCTTTCATTGCCTTGAAAGCAAAACTTCCCAGCTTTTTCTCAAGGTCCTGCATTTCAGATACACCAGACTTTTTTGTATGAGAAGTTTAATCCTTAGTACAGATGGAAGCTGTGTCAGTCAGCTATAAATATAAAGTGCTCAATTTGTTCAACCAAAAACTTTTCCTAATAACCACAGGAACTATCAACCTCTCTGTCCTTCTCCTTCTCACATATGCAGGACATGACACAGAACTCCCTCTCAGATCTCAGGAATGATATTTAGCTCTCAAGGAAGTGAAAGAGTGTGGACGGGGAATGGCAGAGAAAAAAACATTTTGTGAAGCAGTGTTCTTTTTGCTTTGCAGGCAAGCCAATAAATGTAATTTCTATCTATTCAGCTGTTTTATTTTGTGGTTGTTGTTGTTTGTTTTTTTCTTTTTCTTTTTTTTTCTTTCTTTTTTTTCCATTGCTTTTTGTTTTCAAAAGAAAAGCTGGCAGATCCATGTCTACATGTCTAACTACCAAAACTACATCTGTGAATACCATTTCTATCCTCTCAAGAACTTTTGAAGGATATTCCCATCAGCCAAGTATTGCAAAAGTGCTTTAGAAATCACAGTTGGTCTTAATTTCTCCTTGTAAATTTCTCCTCTCTTTTAGGCAAATCGGATGCCTTTTCTATATCTGTGAGCACATTTTTTATGCAGCTTTTTTTTTTTTTTTTTTTTTTTTTTTTTTTTTTCCCCCAGCTTTTTTCCTAATTCTACCCCTTAACAACTTGTTTTTTTTTTCTCAGCAGGTTCCAGGCAGGACACGCACAATAGTCCAGGAGGATCTGAGAGCCTGTAAGGACCACTTACAGGGTAAGGTGGAATAAAAACTTGAAAAGAGCTGTAACTAGAAGGTTAGATTTGATGCATTTTCTAGGTCATTGCAAACATAGAAGATCTAAATATGCCACTCTGGGGAATCAGAGGGTCCCAGAGCTGCTGACGCTGGAAGGCACCTCTATGGAGGATCTAGTCCAACCCCTCTACCCACAGCAAGGTTGTTCAGGTTCAAGGTTGTTCAGCCACAACAAGTTGTTCAGGTCTGTGTCTCATCAGGTATCTATCTCCAGTGATGGAGACCCTATCACCTCTCTGGGGAAGTAATTCCATCTTTCAAGTAAAAGATTTTTTCTCATGTTTAAGTTGAATTTTCTGTATTTCAGTTTGTTTCTTGTCCTGGCACTGGGCGTGAAAGAAGAGAGCCTGATTCTGTCTTCTTTATACTTTCTCTTCAGTAAGACATTGATGAGATCTTCTCTGAGCCTCCTCTTCTCTAGGATGAACTGTTCCAGCTCTCCCAGCTTTTCTTCACAGGAGAGATGCTCCAGACCCTTGGTTATCTTCACGGCCTTTTGCTGCACTCTTTCCAGTATGCCCATATCACTCTTATACTGGGGAGGCCAGCACTCCAGCATCAGCCTCACCAGTGCTGGCTAGAGGAGAAGGATCTCCTATCCACCTGCTGGCAATAATTCACCTAATGCAACCCAGGTTGCCTGTTGACCTTCTTGGTCCCAAGGGCACATTGCTGACTCATGTTGAACTTGGCATCCACCACCAGAGAGAAGCTGTATTCCAGATTGTCTGCTCCAGCATGAGTTGGTACCTGGGGTTGTTCCTCCCTCAGCTCAGAGCTTTGTACTTCTCTGTGTAGAACTTCATGAGTTTTGTGTCAGCCCATTTCTCCAGCCTGTCAAGGTCCCCCTGGATGGCAGCATGACTCTCTGACATACCCCAGTTTTGTTTTGTAGACTTGTTGAGGGTTCTGCCTCTGATATTCAGGTAATTAAAGATGTAAAATGGTATTAGGCCCAGTATCTGTCCCTGGAGTACACCACCTGTGACTATCCAGCAATGGGAATGCCTCAAAAATTGCAAGACTTATCATTAGGATGCCTTCCGAAGCCAGTGATGTTATTTATTTTTATGAAATTTTCTTAGTGGCCAAATATAAGCCTGTTCGCATACTGTGTACAGCATAAAAGTTTTCTCAAGGTCCTGCATTTCAGATACACCAGACTTTTTTGTATGAGAAGTTTAATCCTTAGTACAGATGGAAGCTGTGTCAGTCAGCTATAAATATAAAGCGCTCAATTTGTTCAACTTTTCCTAATAACCACAGGAACTATCAACCTCTCTGTCCTTCTCCTTCTCACATATGCAGGACATGACACAGAACTCCCTCTCAGATCTCAGGAATGATATTTAGCTCTCAAGGAAGTGAAAGAGTGTGGACGGGGAATGGCAGAGAAAAAAACATTTTGTGAAGCAGTGTTCTTTTTGCTTTGCAGGCAAGCCAATAAATGTAATTTCTATCTATTCAGCTGTTTTATTTTGTGGTTGTTGTTGTTTGTTTTTTTCTTTTTCTTTTTCTTTCTTTTTTTTTTCCATTGCTTTTTGTTTTCAAAAGAAAAGCTGGCAGATCCATGTCTACGTGTCTAACTACCAAAACTACATCTGTGAATACCATTTCTATCCTCTCAAGAACTTTTGAAGGATATTCCCATCAGCCAAGTATTGCAAAAGTGCTTTAGAAATCACAGTTGGTCTTAATTTCTCCTTGTAAATTTCTCCTCTCTTTTAGGCAAATTGGATGCCTTTTCTATATCTGTGAGCACATTTTTTATGCAGCTGCAGGTTGCAAAGAGATTAGTTTGCAGCCCTCTTTTCCAAACTTCCTTAAAGCACGTTGTCTGCATCTTTGCATCTGACCAGTTCATATATATATATATATTTACTTATTTATTATTATTTTTTTCAGATTATGGATGCTGGATCATCATTAAACTGTTCAAATCAGTCTCCAATTACAAGGAGGAAGAAGGGAAGAAAAAAAATCCATCTGAATGTGGAAAAAAAAATAAATAAAGAAAGAAAGAAAAATAAAAAAAAAAGGGATATTAAGATTATTCAAGCTTTTGTTCCTTAGCATTTTTGAAAGCTTAACTGCAGTCTCATGGGAAAGGTAAGTTCAAGCTGTTGCTTACTCAAATTCTTTCCACAGACTGAGAAATCCTGTCTCATTTCCTTTCCACAGTTATGAGTTAGATCACAGTTTATGTGGTGAGTTAATCTTATGAGCAGTGTATAATTTTAGTTGCACATGCTTAGGAAAAGCAGATGATATGTTCTAGTACTTATTTTAGTAAATGAAATAAGTTAAAATGAAATAAAGCATTTCCAACAGCTTTCAGGCTGTGCCTGGATTATCAGACAGGCTTCTGGCAGCTTGGCAGCAGTTGATTGCCTGTAATCCCGATTCCTAAAGGCACCGTTGCATGGACTGACAGCAAACAGGCCACTGCCTGGTTGGGAGATGAGTGGGAATCTTTCAGAAAGAAGTGGTAATGTTTCCCTAGGAGACTGTGGGTTGTGGAGGGCACAAGGGCTGGACAGTGACCCTTCTCTGTAGTCCACCCACATTAGGTATGATTAGGTAAGATGCAACCACACCAGTTTCCTTCGTATACTGTTTCCCTGGCTGTATCTGCTGTCCAGCATCATCTGTACTTTTTCCCCATGGTTACTGCTCATCATTTTTATTACTCCAAGGTGTATCTTCTCTTCCTAGCCCCAATCATGTTTCTCTCCTGCAGCTTTGGATCAATGTGGTCTTTGGGTTCTCCAGTTGTTACCTCTTATGGTTAAAGAAGCTCCCATTCCTTTCCCCAATTTGTCTCTCAGCATTTGGGCCAACTGTTCGTGTGCCAGCCGTATTCCTTAAATAATTAATTCAGAATGAAGCCAACATGTAAACCACCTCCATGTTCTATCTTTGGGACTCTGACTGCTGCCCCCCCCATGCTTTCTCAGACCAGAAGTCATGCTGCTTTTGTAACTCAGGACTTTAAGAGAGCTTAGTGTAAAAGTGATTAATCCAGTCCTTAAAAACAGATGGCTTCTGCCAAAGGAATAAAATGAGCTATAAGAAGTCCAGAAATAAGCATTTTCAACAACAAAAGGCTTTGACATTTTATAACATGTCTGTCATTATAACTGTTCTCAGAGGTACTGATTTCATATAGTATACTGATGTAAAGACCATTGGAGAGAAAATTACTGTTAATCTGAATGACTTGTGGGTGATTACTTACAAGTAAACACCATTGTATCAAATATATTATTAAGGGTTACAGAAGTATATATAGAATTTATTTAAAATGTTCCTCACATGTAAAATGTTGAAGAGGAACAATCCAATGGAAATGTTGCCAGTGTTACTCCTAGATGTTCTAATTATTAAAAGCTACCAAATGCTACAAAGGCCATTTGAAAGCTTTCTAGAAATAAAAATAAAAATAGAATAAAAGATCTCTGTGTCTCGTATAAAGACAATCTGTGTATACTTCAAAGTAACAGGCAGAAATTGTTACATACTGTTAGTGCAGCTATGGAAGTTCCCTTTTTTACTCATGAACAACCCAATATGTGCGTGAATAGATTGTTGTAATATTGTTGGACAAATTTGCTGATGGATTGCTTGAAAAATCTCATCCAGTGAAACACAACTGATAAGTGATATAAAGGTCAAAAGGAAGTTGTTGAACTGTTTGATTTCTGGAATATATCAGGAACTTTATACAATCTGCTGTGAGAAAGATTATATTTCTTCATGAGAGTTGCTTTTTTATTTTCTATAATGTGTTTATGTACTGTAATTAATGCAACATCACTGCAGAGAAAAATAACACTGAAAAACTTTGGATGTTCTAAGGTTTTTGTTTTATGAATCACTGAATCCACAGTCTACTTGTTGTCTGACCAAGCTGTACAGCATTTTGTACAGCTACAGCATAGGATAATGATATATGGGACATGATACACCAGTATGTTGTTTATGCTCAGGGACTTTCCTGTGTGACATTTTGAATTGTTTATTGAGGTTTGAGGTTAAGCTGAAGAAAACAATGATTTTCGCTTGGTCTCTGATAATCCATCTGCTATTTGACTGCAAAGTGTCATTTGTGAATTGCTTTCAACTTTTACATACCACTTTTCAAACAAACGAGGTGTTCAGTGTTTATCCCAAGCACAAATATAGACTGGATGGAAAATGATTGAGAGCAGCCCTGAGGAGAAGGACCTGGATGTGTTGGTTCATAAGAAGCTCAGCACAGACTGGCAATGTGCGCTTGCAGCCCAGAAAGCCAACCTTACCCTGGGCTGTATCAAAAGCAACATGGCCAGCAGGGTGAGAGAGGAGATTCTCCGCCTCTGTTCTGCTCCCATGAGACCCCAACTGGAGCACTGTGTTCAGTTCTGGGGCCCCCAGCACAAGAAGGACATGGATGTATTAAAATGAGTCCAGAGGAGGGCCATGAGAATGATCAAGGGGCTGGAGCACCTCTGCTATAAAGACAAGGTGAGGGAGTTGGGGTTGTTCAGCCTGGAGAAGAGAAGGCTCCAGTGAGAACTCACAGTGGCCTTCCAGTACCTATAGGGGGCCTGCAGGAAATCTGGGGAGGGACTCTTTCTCAGGAGGTGTGGTGACAGGACAAGGAGTAATGGTTTTAAACTAAAAGAGGGTAGATTTATATTAGATATAAGGAAGAAATTAATCACTCAGAGGGTGGTGAGGCCTTGGCACAGGTTGCCCAGAGAAGCTGTGGATGCCCCACCCCTGGAAGTGTTCAAAGGCAGGTTGGATGGAGCTTTGGGCAGCCTGGTCTAGTGGAAGGTGTCACTGCCAAGGGCAGGAGGATTGGAACTGAATGGTCTTTAATGTCCCTTCCAATCCAAACCATTCTATGTATCTATGAATATATAGCCACATGGGCTTAACAGGACAGAGAGGCTACTATAGTGATGCCCTAATGGCCAAATAGAGGAGAGAAAAGATAGAATTGTGTAATTTAAATATATATATATATATATATATATATATATATATATTGATTCTAAGTGATTTCACAGGTATTTTCATTTTTACATGTGAAAAATGGTGCGACTGTCACTGGTGGCACCTCCCCATCTTGGATTGTTAGTTGTTTGTAGCTCATCAGCTTGTTAAATGCTTGTCCACATCACCTCCAGAAGTAGATATTATAGACAAAAACAGGGCAGAGCTAATGCACAGAAATAATAATTTTTGTTGCTGTTGTGAAGGTGAAGAGGACTTCAAACTGTAAAGGAACATTGTAATTCCAGTTACTGTCTACAAGTGATTTCAGTTTGGAGCAGGAGCAAAGGAAGTCTCCTGCTATGACATGGAAAGAGAATTCCCTATATTCTTACCTACTTTTATGGTTTATCAAACAATAAAGATTTTAAAAGATTGTCTTTTATAGCAGGTGCGACCCAGTACCTGAAAAGTTATAAACCACTTTTTCTGGCTGTATTGCTAGGACTGACTGTAGTGGTGAAGAAAAGAAAGAGAAAAAGAGCTGTCTATGCTGCAGAGCAATGGTGGCAATTAGAATAATATGTAAATTTACTAGCAGTCAATTCCAGCTGGAAATCAGAAGATGGATTCTCACCAGTAAGCATCTGGAACAGCTACTCAGTGGAAGCTGAGTGGGACAAACAAGGAGCTTGGTCAGTTTATGAGTCAGCTGGAATGACAGAATTACTCATGAAAACAGGGAACTGCCTCAGTGACTCAGATTGGATCTATGTTCTTTGCCTCAATTAATAATGATTGAATGAGTAAAAGTGCATTTTTACCATAGAAAGTTAATGTAAGATGTTTGATTACCAAACAGTGCTCAAGAATACTTAATGGAGATAAAACAGAAAGTCCTTATGGCCAGGAACTTGAGAAACTTTTTGGGGTTTATTGCAGTTGAAAAAAATATGTATCTTTATTGCCAGGATTTCTGTGAGTACTGCTTGTGCTACTATTTCAGCCGTCCTAGCTCCCACTCTGCTTTCATTTCTTGTGAATCATCTTCCTGAAAGCTTGGATAGGAAACCTCTTCCCTCTTTACTTTACTTCCAGCTGTGTTTGTGAGGTTGGGAAGTATGTGTGTGGAGGATTGATGGAAAAGGCATGGAGATAGGGGCAGAGGGTGTCCGTTACTCCAAGGGTGGAGCTGTAACACAGCTCATCAATATCTCTTTCCTCTATTGACTTTAGTGACTATTTTGCACAGCATCTACAAGAATGTGTGAAGAGAACCTGTCTGAAATGTGACGACAGGAGACGTCGTGCTGAGCCAGAGAAAATGTCTGTACAAACTGCCTTTGACTAGCCAGGGAAAAAGAGCACAAATAGAGTTGGTCAGAAGAAGCTTAATAAAAGTTAGCTCTTTTGGTTGTTGTTGTTCTGAATTAGTCAGTTCACTGAAACTAAATCATTTTGCAGAGCGTTTTTGCACTGCTTTCAGTGGCATCCCAACAACCTTGTCAGCCAAAGAACTTTGAGAGTAAGATATGTTAGGTGACAACATATCAACCCTGTGACTTTTCTTTTTCAGGCTCCCCTTGACAACCAACCTGAACTTATTGAGTCCTGGCTGATGGCCACATTGCTGCACAGATGGCTGAGCTGACAAAATCTGTAGTTTGGAGCATCCTGAAGCACAAGCTTGATGCTGGATTTTGTATGGACTCGTGTGAGTGTCTTAACAACCAACATGCTACCTGCTTTGTTATCTTTCTGTCCTCATTGAGTGATGGCTATGACCTGGTGCAGAATGTGAGAATGTCTGAAGTCCTACAAATTCCCCAAGGACAGGAAATTTCATTCAAGCACAGCATTTTTGCCATGACTCTCCTCTTCAGCTCATCCAGAACCCATGCTGTTGTCCTCACTTTCTTTGCTAAAATCCTATCCTAACTCCTCATAAGAAAAATACATGTGAAATTTAGTTGGAACATAAGCAGAGGGTGGGGCAAGATACCCTGGCTAAAAAGAGCCCAGACACACAATGAAGGAGGTGGTAGTTACTGGATGTGCTCAAAAGTTTTTATTGCAAAGAAGCTGCCTTGCAGGTCACACACATTTATATCCACTGGGAGCAGTCAGTCAGAAGATGAAGTGCAGGAGGCCAAAGGAAATTAAATATATCAAATTATCTAGGTGTAAGAGCTGATTGACTAAGAGACTATTATATGACTATCAAGGGTCCATGCCTCTTTATAGTTTTGGATGCAGGATGTGGCTGTCAATCACAATTTATCAGCAGCATTGTTTCATTAGCAACATAAGTCTACTCAGCTCTTGTGCCAGGGTGCTGGGCAGTGGCAAGACCTGTCTGCTGGAGAGCGTGCAGACTTCTGCAGTAGTTGAAAAAAATAACAGATTCTGCCTTTCTGTCCACCTCTCAATTATCTAGGTGATATACAATGTATAAGATAAACATCAGTGACTGAGAAGTAACCTTGGAAAGAAGATCAGAAGTAAATTGGTTTACATGCTTGAGCTGGTGCATGAGCTAAAATTTATATGCTGTAGCTTTGAATTCTTATACTGTAAAGGGGAAGAATGAGCAGATTTACTGCCTTGTAGCTTTTTTGAAAAGGCTATTCCAAATATTTTTCATTTAAGCCTTGCAAAGGCTCAGTATTTATATAGTTCACATGGTACAATTAATGCCTACTTATCTCTCTGCTCTTCACATAAAACTTCTAAAAAGGCAGACAGATGTCTGACGTACTTTAAAACTTTAAGCCAATATGCAGAAAGGAGCATAGTAATATTTTCCTCACGTCCTCTCAACCCATTCCATTAATATTTATCTTTCAGTAATTAGCGGAGAAGCTAAACAATATTAATACTTGTTAACATGTAGGATTTTGTTTGTAAGCAAAGTACAGACTGAACAAAGTACAAGTGGACTTTGACGAAGTACAGACTAACAGAACACAATTGGCATTGCTGGAACTGGCCACCAGTGCCTGGGGATTCATCTCATATTATACCTTATTATCCAGTGCCAGCTGGCTTATTCATTTCTGGGATTGATGGTTGCGGTGAGAGACCAGATCAAGGTAGGAGCCCTGGGTGTTTACCCTTTATAAGAAGGCCTTCTTATCAGATGGATCTTCCTGATTTGTGTCACAATCACTGAGTTGGATTTCTTCATGTTAGAGAGATGCAAGTCTCATAAGAGACAAGTTCAGGTTTGGGGTTCTTGTTCCACACACTATGCTAGTCAGTGGCTTAGATCCCCACTGGGGAAACTTAGTTGAAAAGGCTGTGTCAAAAGCTAGAGGAAAGGTCTCTATGAGGCCTCAGGAGAAGAAACTATGACTCGTCTAAATGAGGAAATAGTCTGTGCTGTCTGGGGTTCTGTAAATGCAAAACTAGCTTTTCAACAGAATCTTGTTATATACTACTATTATTCTCTAAGAATGCCAAGAAGAACAAGGAGCTATGTCCAAAGGTTTTTTTGTTTCATAATTGTTCATTCATTTTTCAAAATCCCATGGGGCATAGTTGATTGCTAAACCAGAAGACTATGGGCAATGAGTTCTGACCGTCAATTAAAGTGACATTACTTGATCTTAAGGAAGTGCTTGCCCTGTCCCCCTTCTACATGTAGAGTAATTCAAAAGTAAACTCTGGACCTTTTTCTAAACAGGCTAGATTAGAAACATGACTACCAGGTGTAAACTTGTTGCTGCTGAATGCTATCAGCATTATTGACACTAAACAAGTTTGAACTGGTAACTAACAAATAAGTGCCTTAGCACAAACACTGCGCCATCTTAAAAATCTCAACTCTCACTAGTTTTCAGATGCTTCTCTATGAATTATGTTGCAAATTAGAAGATATGAGTAAGTAGTAGGGTGACTAAGTGCAAGGTTTCAGTGGTGAGTTACACCACGAAAGTGTTATAGAAAGATACCTTCTAAAGACAAGCTATTCTTCAGAAGCTATTCTTCAGAATGGTTAGTCTGAGATGAACTGATTTACCAATAACTTGTAAATGATGTGTCCAAGGTATCTTGTACACAGAAATTTTGGAACTTTCCATGAAAGAGCAACCCCAGACAAAAATAAATATTCACTGAAATTACAGTGTGTTTCTTTCTGGGTGAAGGTAAAATGACTTTCAGACACCGCTAACATCCTGGTTGAGTCAATTCAACCTCCCTTAAAATACATAGTTTGTGGTTTTTTTTTTTTAACATATTAGTTTTTAAATAGACCAAAGAAACATCCACACAAGAGCTGACAATGAGTGTGTTTATTTTTCCCTTCATATCTTCTTAGAAAAGAACAAATGAACAGAAAAATAGTGATCCTTTTGATATTTTCTCTGGTGGAGTTCTTTTCCACTTAAATTTCATATGCTGCCTTTTCCTCTTTTCCAGCTTTTCTTGTCCTAGCAGAAAGAGCTCATATGAGAAGGCAATGCTTGCATCTGTCACTTGCACATAGAGTCTGCATTACATGTACTACAGTGAGTGATGTTTCAACAAGATTTGCTGAATTGACACAAACTTTCCCGTAAGTGGTGTACTACTGAGAAACTGGAGGCAAACAAGAGTAGACAAGGGAACCAGGTATGGAAGGAGCAAATCTGTCTCTGACATCTGAAGATAATCTGATTATGGCATTCCTATATGATGGAATTGCAGAACTAGTGTAGACACTAATGATATAGATACTAATTATATAGATGTAGATCAAATGTAGACATATGGAGAAAAAAATTGTTTATTAACAACTGACATAAATGATTTGGGTGTTTTATAAAGTAAACCCTATTTCACAGAATCACAGAATCACAGAATTGTAGGGTTTGGAAGGGACCTCGAAAGGTCATTGAGTCCAACCCCCCTGCCAAAGCAGGTTCCTCAGAGCAGGCTGCCCAGGTAGGCGTCCAGACAGGCCTTGAATATCTCCAGAGAAGGAGACTCCACAACCTCCCTAGGCAGCCTGTTCCAATGCTCCGTCACCCTCACCGTGAAGTTCTGTTGCATGTCAGTGCGGAACTTCCTGTGCTCTAACTTGCAGCCATTGCCCCTTGTCCTATCCCCACAAACCACTGAGAAGAGGTTGGCTACATCCTTCTGTCCCCCACCCCTCAGATATTGATATACATTGAGGAGATCCCCTCTCAGTCTTCTCCAGGCTGAACAGACCCAGGTCTCTCAGCCTTTCTTCATAACATTTCCCAGAAGATTTGTTTGCAAATTAAGCTGGAACAGAGTGGATTAAGTAGTGAATGGGCTGAGATGCTGCTGCCTGCAATACCCACTGTGCACATGAAATCATCAGAGGAGTGGCTGCTCTGTAAAAGAGATGTGTTTTTTTATATTACATGCTGAATACATTCAGGAGTATTGCCTTCCACCTCTCTTAAGGGCTATGGGAAGTTTAATAGGCAAATAATAGAGACTGAAAGACTTATGGTTTTACTACTCTTTTACCCTGGTTGTGGAGCCAGCAATGACTAATTTGCCATGTGTCCGTTTTGGACTTGTTTAACACATTTCCTTGATGGAGTCTGTCAGCCTCACCTGCAGTCTCTAGTAAACTTCATCCACCAATAGAATCATGACCTACATAAACATAATTAAATTCTACTCTGAAAGTAGGGCAATGTGTTGAGCTTGGATGTGATTTTCTTGTGATCTTCTCATCTCTTGAGATCATGTCTGAGGCACCTTGCATAGACCTTGATTCAAACATGGAAGAATGGTCTTCCTGGAATTCCCCACAGTCTAAATTAGCTGCTGTCTAATGACAACAGAAGACATCTAGCTCTGGTGAATCTCTGGGTAGTCTTTCAAAGATATCTGGGTCTTAATCACATGATAAAGTAGCAGGGGTTCAGCAGCTGGCAGTCTGCTAGAGACTTCATGCTTGTTTTCAAAAAGAGGGGTAGGTGCAATGCACTGCTGCAGAACACCTAGTGCATCTTTGAGATAAATCATCCAGAAGGATTTTCAAAAGTAATTGAATTATTTAAACATGCATAGATTCCCTTTCCTGGTGGACTTCTGGCCTGGGCCATGTCCCAGAAAATGGTCTCATGTTATCACTGTGAAGCAGTTTTACAAGAGACAATGTTGTGCATCCTTTTAAACATTTTATTTATTTAGTTAGTTAGTTATTTTAAATAAATATGTCTGAAGATCTGTTTTCATGAATGCAGAGGAGGCAAACTATGGAGTGCAAAATAATTCTAAGATGTTCTCCAAGAATTTCCCTGGGTAGTTTTCTTGTTGGGGGAGTCCAAGAGGAAGTGGCACAGGTTAGCTGGGGGACAAAGTTGAGTTGAATACACAGGCAAACTGGGGTGAGCTCAGCTGCTGATCACATCCACTCACATCCAGACTCATTTTGGAGACAAGAGTGTGAGCATTTCTTACCAGCAGAAAGGTTTCCTTGCCTGCTGATTTTTTCTGTTTGTACATCAAGCCAGGAGAAGCACAGAAGTAGAATGGGTGAACAAGAGATGTGAACCAGAGAGAAACTCAGGCTGATGTGGTAGTATAATAAAACACATTTGTTCCTGACAGTTACAACACATAAAACCCTAATCTTAGATAGCTATTTACATCAGAAAAGAGTTTTTGTCTTCCTGAAAAACAAACCAAATCAAACCAGCCAACCAACCAAACAAAACCAAACCACAATAATAATCAGCCTACTTAGAGATTACTAGAGAGCTCTAAAATACATGGTTGATTAAAATTTATGCAAGGATATTGTTTTCAAACAGTGTTTAAGCTTTCAGAAGTCTTTGTCCACACATTTGTCAGCACTAAAAAAACAGATGTCCAGTGGAGGCTGGGATGGTCAAGACTTTGAAGCTCAGAAACCCCCGCAGCTAACTAAATTGCTTGGAAGCTTTATGGATGTCCTTTTACAGAAGGGAAATTTGATCCCAACAACAAAATGTTTTCAGTAAGTGTTTTGTTCTGTCAAATTTGATCATCTCCTAAACTTGCATGTACAACACCGATATTCAGATGAATAAGAAACAATATCTGGAGCACTAAAAACCGGAGATACAATTTCCTCTCTCTTTTCTCCCAGGTGCTCCTCCCCTTCCTTTTGGAGAACTTTGAGTTTTCTCTCTTGAGTTTTCCATTTGATCTTAACATTATCCTTGTCAAACTATTAGACTTCTGATTTATACTTTCATCGGTTGTTTTTTTTTGTTTTTTCCTTCTGAAAATGAGTAACAAATGGTATTTCTGTTATTCTTGCATGTACTATTTTAATTGTTTATGAGACTTTTATTGAGTAGTATCATATTTTACAATACCAGATGTTTCCTTAAATGTGCACTGAGTTCCTGGATCACTTACGGACTGATAAACCCTGGAAGGAACAACTTGTATTGTGAAAATCACTTTTTTTTTTTTTTTTTTTTTCTCATGATAATTATTCTGGGTAATCTTTGAAATATGTTTTCCAGAGCCTTGTTTTAGTTGAGATGACATTTAGTATGTCCATATGAAATAGATGTTGTTCCAGCAGTGAAATACAAACTTGGCATTCCGTGCACTTGCTTCCAGTAAAAAGGTTATATGAATGCCAACGCCTGTAGCTGCTGAAATGTGCAGCATGTGAATGGTAACACTAGTCTACAGGGCACAACTTTCTGAAATTACATTGACCTACATATTTTTGCATGATGATGATAAATAGTAAAATAAAAAGACGTTTTTCTTCAGAAACTAAGAACAAACAGTAAAACTTCCTACTGCAGAATGGGGTAGATACTAAATGTGTGCATGTGTTCAGAAAATGGTTAGATAAAATGAAAAATCATCTAAAACAGCAGGAGACCTTCCTTCTGGCTCAAGAATGTTCTTAGTTGCAGATCTCTGACTGCTGTTTAATCTGACTTAATGCAGCAGTTGTTGTTCTCTTAGGCATGAAATGAAGGCAGATTTAAAGTGCCCACATAATTTAAGAATATAAGTCGGTCTGGAGGTGCAGGATGTGCATTCCTAAGTTCCTCAGATTTTTTATTTTATTTTTCCAAATCTATGCCTCCAGTTGTTTATCTGTTTTGAAAGCCTATTTATTTATGTATTTTTCCAATCTCAGTTTGTGTTGAGGCTTGCTGGGTCACTGTGTTGTGAAAAATCAATGAGATGTGATGGGATTTCTCAATGCAATTTCAAGTGATGTGTCTGGGCCCTAAGAATGCATTTGTCTTATTCAAAGAAGAGTTCGTGAATGCAGTTTCGCAGTGGTCTATCTGTATGTTGCCTCCTGAAACACCAAGTTTCAAGAGGTGTCTTAGAAGACCTGTTTTTTAAGGCAGGAACTGAAAGAGGAGTACATTGGAGCTTGTCTCTATCATGCATAGACCAACATGGAAGAGAATGCAAGTACTTCTTCTGTTTATTTGACTATTTCAAATAGTAACACAAAATTTAACTTGTGAAGGAATATTTTATCTTCTTTAAATTCCAGCTACCTGCAGTGTCTGTTACAGTACATATACTATTGCTCTGAGCCATTGTCAAGTGATAAAAGCTCTGCACTCCTCTCAGATTTGTAAGGACTATCAGTTTCGGTAGAACAAGCACTGAATTAACCCATCACATCTTCAAGAACTCCCTGGACTACTTACTCCAATACAGTGTTCTTATTTTTTTCTTCTGGTTTGTGAACTCTCTGCAATTTTTCCACTGTAGGTACAAAGGTATTCCTCCTGGTAACAGGTTTCCTTTTGCAGACCTCTTAGATACGGTTGGCAGATTAGACATTGAAAACATACTTTCTAGGGAGATTGCTCTGATAATAACAACATAATTGTCTTGCAATGAATGTTTGCTTGGGTACCATTAAAGTATTCAAACATCTTACACGTATTTTCTTAGGTGATAACTGGTGTTTTACACCAAACACTGCCAACACATAGTCTCTGTGTCAGGATTTTACAGTGCAAAGGTTTTTAGACATTTGATTTTGAAATCAAATAATAAGATTTCTATGTAGCTTAGAGGCAGGCTATCACTGCAAAGCAAGTACAACAGCTAAAATTAAAGGCTTGTTTGTTTATATTGTTGCCAGTAATCTAACAGCAGTCGGATTAATGGTTATTAAATATGCAATACTCTATGCCAAACTAATACTGAATGCAGGCACAATTATGCTATTTTTTCAATACTACATGATCAGTTTATTATTTTTAAATCATATTTTTCTTGAAGACCAGTAAAACTGCTAAATAATGGGCAGTTATTTGAAAAAAAAATATTTATTTATTTGTACTTATCAAAAAGGGGACATTTTGGAGAGCAAAATTATATGTTCTGAAAAAAATATTTATAAAAGGCTGAATTGTTCTAAGTTTTTTCCTGCCAAACAGTGTGATAGAAACTTCAGATTTTGAGTCTTGCAATGTGTGTCCTGAAACTTTATCTTGCATTTGGATTCTTGGGTCCTTGTTCAGCTATGTACCATCCCTTGATGCTGGCTTTACAGATATAAATCTGAAAAACACAGCTCAGTCCACGTGGTTTGGTGTGTCCATAAACACCGTGGAATTTCTGACTTCATCTGAGGCATTACTGCTGGACACAGCGAAACAGTTTCAGATAAACCTCAGGCTTCATTTGTCTTTATTAGGGATTTCTTTAATTAAAAAATAAACAACAACAACAAAAAAGTTTTATACATACTTTGAGAACTGAATAAAACTTCCAGCAATGATAACTCAGAAACTATGGAAATTACTAATTTCTTTGTGAATTTTCAGAATAGTTTACAATGCAACTCATACAAGAATGCCAGAGAAGTCCTTATAGTGGGAGCTGAGAAACATGGCTTCGTTAGCTCTCATAAGGGGCAGTGAGATGTAATGTTCTTTAACAAGCTGATCCAGGCTATTAGTCTGGAGTTTTTGGTCCTTCATATGGCTACAGATATTCTGCTGAGGATCAGAGACAATGACACAAGAAGTAGCTGCCAGCAGCACCACCACCCACTGGCAGGGGCTTCATGCTGCAGTTTAAGGGTCAAGCCCCAGCCAGTCTGGAGCTGATTATCACAGGCAACCTCATGTCATGGTACTCCTCTGCCCACAAGCTAAACATCTCCCCTGCTGAGATAAGCGAGTGTCTCTGTGACCTGGCCAGAGACAGTCCAGTCATGCAGTGACGTGCAGCGTGCTCACCCTGCCACTCAGCTGCGGTTCCTGTCTGCGCTACAGCCCCCTCAAAAACTGGGGACAGGCAAGGGTTTGGCAGGTACTTGGTGTTTGCTCCAATAGTTTGAAGAAACAGGCATCCACTAAGGACTTCGTCTGGACAAAAAAAATATATAAAAAACAAGTGATAGGAGCATTGAGGTGCAACCAGGTGGAGAACTCTTGTCTGCCTTTCCCTCTCACTACATCTTCTACTTTTTTTTTTTTTTCTTCCCTGCTGCAGCTCATGGCCAGATGACAATTAAAATCGATAAACTCTGATGACTCCCTTAGCAAAAGAGACCTGGAAACACAAAGCAGTTTTTAATGCCATTCTCCTTTATGTTTGGTGAGGAAGCTGGAATCAGTCAGTGCTTGGGCCAACTGCTGCACTGGTGGAAGTCCTGGCTCCTTCCAAAGCTTTCTGAGTCTCTGCTGAAGTGGCCACAGCCAAGACTTTGATCTGGAATTGCAAACTTCATAATCATTACCATTAATCCATTGCACAATTACGTGTTTTGCCACAGATTTATTAAAGTGGTATTAACTGGTATTTCACAATCTCCTCCTGAAGAGGTGAAGCAACTGTAGATTTCTGAAGGTTTAACACTTGAAAGACACTTCAGTGTCTTCCAGTATTCAACAGAAAAGTAATTTCACATAATTTCATCAATGTCAAAACTTAACCCTAGTTGGCTTTCCCTTACTCTTGCCTAGAGTACCCTTGACACCCTCTCTGTCAGCTGAAATGAATGTTCTCCGTATTGGTGGGTTAATTATTTTCAGCATGGGTTAATTATTTTCCATGCTTAGCCTGAAGCACCTTAGCTGTTTGTATTGACATAGAAAGAAATTATAAAATTGAGGGTGTTTCAAAAATATTTGTACATAGAAAAGTAGCTGTTTATGGATTGTTACTGAATTGAATTGAATTTGACTTAGAAATTAGCTCCAGCTGCAGTATAGCCTTTCTTTAAATGGAAAAAAAGACAAATTTTTGTCTGTGATCTAATTATATATCATTTCCATTGAACACCCAGAACGTGCTGGTTGCAATTCTGAGTGGATGACTTAGTACAAGAAAGGAGATTTCTATTTGACTTATTCTTAATCAGAAAATACATTTCTATATACAAAAAGAAAAAAGAAAAAAAAAAAGAAAAATGAAGTTTTAATTCTTTAAAAAATCAGCTGAAAGTTTTTAATTTTCTGTAAAAAAAAAAAAAGTTATTTCCTGGCTATGTGTTTTTTTTTTTTTTTTTTTTTTTTTTTAACTAAAAACCATATTATTGCAATATTATTTCATTTTTAGAAAGGGGAGGTTATCATTGCCTTTTGTTGCACTAGTTATTAAAAACACATTCAATGAATGAAACCTTTCTGCTCTGTTAGTTTTCATGAGTCTTTTAAAATTATCAGACAATCTGTTGAATGTATAGATATTTTTATCACTCATGTCAAAATCCATAAACATATGTCAGTCGCTTAGTTGCACTGTTGTTTGAAATGCTGCATTAATGGAATAAAGATGAATCTTACTGTAGACTCAAGAGCCTGATGCCCACAGCTCCTGGTGCTTTCTCCTTTTCTCTGTCATCAAGTGAACCATCAGAATAGAAATGCTCAAGACTACACCTACAGAACTGCAACAGATCAGAGTCCTGCCTCAGAAGATGATAACAGGCATGTGTAGTCAGTCCTGCAGTAACCCTTGATATACTTGGGAGCTGCAGTAGTACTTCAGACCATTAATTCTATAAACATTAAATAAATGCTTGATCTTTACATTTTTATTTTTTTTTTTTAAATGGATAATTGTAGTGGCTCTTTGACTATGAGACTCAGCTGAAATAGAAAACAGAGAGGCAACATTTTGAAAGGGATTAAAATCACTTTCAAAGGAAATTTTCATTTCACTGTACCTATATTTCAGAAAGCATGGATTTCATCAGAAACCATGCAAGTGCCACTCTTTTCTGAGTATATTGATTGTTAAAATAAACCTGCCATATAATCCTCAAGCCCTAAGATTTCAAACCCATCATCACATAACAACTGAAAGACTAAATCCAATTTCAATATACATAGCTATACATAAAATTTAAGAAATAATGGAAAGTGAGTTATTTCATAGGACGTTTGAGGCTGGAAGGGCCCTATGGAGGCCATCTGCTCCAACCCCCAGCTCAAGAAAGGACACCCAGAGCCGGGTGCCCAGGACCATGCACTGGTGGCTTTGGAAGATCTCCCAGGAGGGCGGCTCCACAGCCTCTCTGGGCAACCTGTGCCAGTACTCTGTCACCCGCACAGTGAAGAAGTGCTTCCTGGTGTTCAGAGGGAACCTCCTGTGTTCCAGTTTGTGCCCTACCGAAAAGAGCTCAGCTCCATCTTCACTGCACTCTCCCTTCAGGTACTAATATACTTGATGACATGCTTCCTGAGCCTCCTCTTCTCTAGGCTGAAATGTCCCAGCTCTCTCAGCCTTTCCTCATAGGAAAGGCACTCCGGTCCCTTTGTCATCTCCATCAGTCCTTTACTGACCCTCTCCAGCAAGCCCATGTCTCTCTTGCATGTGGGAGCCCAGCACTGTGCCCACTGGTGTGTCCTCAGCAGTGCTGGGTAGAGAGCTCTCCTCCCTCCACCTGCCAGCAATACTTTGCCCAACGCAGCCCAGGTTGACCTTCCTTGCAGCAAGGCCACACTGCGGGCTCATCTTCAACTTGTCCACCTCTGTCCCTGGGTCCTCTTCTGCCAGGCTGCTATGTTTTAGTGATTTCAACCATGAGCAGTCTTGGCAACTATTGATCTGAAACACTTTGTCTTCACTTCAACAAGTGCAACTGAGCGCTTCTACATCTCTGGGAGAAATGAGCGAGGTATTCCGGGCAGCTTGCAGGTGCCTGGTCGGCTCATAGACCGTGTGTAACTAACAGTAACAGCTGTACCTACAAACACAGAACGAACTGGCAAGTGGGGTCACTAATAAAAACTAACGGTGTCTGTCTCCTGTATCAAACAGGAGATGGAGGTTGTGAGAATAGGGAGGGAGAGGCTGCACCAGGTTGGCGTGGCTAACCCCAAGACGTGGAAGGGTCTGTAGAAGGGCTCCTAGGTACGTGGATGGTGCCGCTCCGCTGCTGCTGCCCCCGACCTCCCGTGGGACACCCACCCCCAATTTGCACCAAGACGGGCACGGGGAGGGCAGGAAGCATCCGCAGCCACCCCCACGCCGGGCAGGGCAGGGCAGCCCCACGGCGCCCTCCCGGTGCCTCTTCTCCCTCCTCCGCCGCCGCCAGCGGGCAGCCCCGGGGCACGGCCCCGAGCCGGTGCCTCGGCGGGGGCTGGCGGGCGGGGCGGGGCCGGGCCGGGCCGCGGCTCATAACAGCGGGCGGCGGGCAGAGCGGTGGTGGCGGCATGCCGGGCGGCGGGGGGACGGCAGCGGCAGCGGGGGGCTCCGGGCAGGGCAACGGGGAGACGGTGGCCATGGTGGCGGCGGGCAACGGGCGGCAGCGGGAGGGCGCCGCGGGGCCGGGGGTGGCCGACGGTGAGGCGCGGGCCGCGGCTGTGCCCATGCTGCCCGCGCTGGAGGTGGCCGAGGAGCCGGAGAAGGCAGCGGGAGGCAGGAGCAAGGACCCCAACACCTACAAAGTGCTGTCGCTGGTGAGTGGTGGCGGGGGCTGCGGGGAAATCTGCGCAGGGAGGCTTCAAAGCCGCGGGGAGCCGGAGGGACGGGGGAAGGAGTGAGCTGGCTGCGTGCTGGGCTCGCACGGCACTGCCCCTGCAGCCGCTCGCAGCCCGGGACTGCTGGACCTGCGTGCAGAGCCGCTGTTAGCAGGTAGGTCAGCTTCCAGTTTTAGCCACGCTGCTGTATTATAATTATCCTTCCTGTAGGGCTGTGGAAATAAGGCTGTCCAGACTGCCTGGTGTGATCATTGCGAGGCTAAAGTCATTGTCAAGGTTAAACCGGGGCACTCGTGGAAGGAAGCTGCTCTGCAACCGCAGCAGCCTTTATTGCTTCACATATATAGAGAGCATACACCTGTAAGCTGTTCTCTTATCCATTACAGCATAAGGATTAAGGTGCTTTTCCAACCTTAGGGGTACTGTTGTAAGCTGGTTACTGTGTCAAATGAACTGGCTGCCACACTGGAGCAACTATATACAGGTCATGCTTCCTGACCTTTCAGTATTGTGGTTACTATTCCCAATGAGCTGGTCACCATGCCATCGCAGCTACACTTATGTCATGCTTCCTGACATAACAGGCTGTACCTCGCATTTACAAGCTTGTCAGAACCTTATCATAAGAAAAATAGCAAATTTCACTGAAGGTTCTATCATAGTTTCCATGCGGACGTCTTTCTGGCAACTGTACTTCCATCTAAAAAGACTTCATCAGTAAAGGGCTGTTGCTTGTTTCGTAACTTTGCCCTCTTCTGGGAGGGACAGGCTGTTCCAATAAATGCCGTGATGATGAAAACAGCCCATCATTTTCCAGTCCTCAAAACAGGTAGTGATAGTGAAAAATCACATGTTATTCAAACCCAATGCAGTTGCTCTAGCCTTTTTAGACTCTCATGCAACAAAATAATTAGATATAAACAGTCACTTCAAGACTGGTGTTGAGCACAAATTTAAACTTTTGTGCATACTTACGCACACTTCTGAGTCAAGTCCTTATTTTCCAGACCAGCTGGCAAAACATTCATCCTGTGCTGACTGAAGTTTTCAAGTGAAGTATACGTTGTCTGTACAGAAATAATTTGAAAGCTCTAAATATAAACCACCATGAACCCTGTAGCATTGCTTTCAGATCTGTTGCAGGCAGTGACAATTTAGAGTATTCAGAGAGAACTTGGAAAAGTTCCTAAATATTGTAGGTGATATTGGCCTGAGTAAAACAAGGGCATATTTGGCTCAAACATCATATTAGGAAGTCAGAATGGTGAAAAACTGGAGTTGGAAATGTAGGTTCTTTTTATTACCAGCTGCTGCATTTTACAATGTGTTAGTAGTGTCATTCCAATGTTGAGGTAAGAAAGGGGTTAGCTTACCTGCTTGGTGTTCTGGGTCATGCAGTGGAAAACAATAAAAGCGATGTTGTTCAAAGTAGGCATAGGTAGACTTCCTTTGCCTGCATTTACCTGAATTGCATGTACCACTGCTACTACTGTTATTTGGGTATAGATGGTTTCAGGTAAGTGCCTGGATGACGCTTTTTATTTTTTCCCCTCTTATTTTTGTTGTTTAAAAACAACAACAACAAATCTTTCTGGGAAGCAGGGACTTGCTCATATTCCCCTCTTCCTGTATGTGTGCCTGCCACCCACAGATGTCTGTGCAGGTTGGGAGCACGCCCTCTGTGTTACCGGCTTCTGCCCATGGGGTGAAAATTCCCTGCTACAGAAGATCTGCAGGGTTCCCTTGCAGAAATGGTTGTGCCACACAGAGCCAACCTATGGATTCTGGTTGCAGAAGCCTCTCGATGCTACATGGTGGTGCTCAGCTATTGTTACTGGAGCGTATGATGGTTGGGGGAGGATGTGGGTAGTTGAGGAAGTGGTATAGAATCACATCCACTTTTAGCAGTTTGTGCTGCAGCACGCATAATTTTAGCTCAGCTGTAGGTTTTCACACGGTGCTGGTCACTCTTCTGGCGCTGTGTGCAGAGAGGATCCCCTGGCTGGTGGGACAGGCCTGCAGCATTTACTAACCCATCGTGCTTCTCTGAAGGCAACAGAGTGAAAATATCTTGAGCAGCCATGAGAGATGATCCTTCTATACAGTTCTGAAATCTCCAAGCATACCTTTGTTTTGCTCATTTTCTGAGCTCTTTCATCCCTCAAAGCTGTTCGTGGCCCCTCCAGGTGCACCTGCTGCCTTTGTAGGACTGAACAGCTTGCTGGCCACACATGAGCAATGTAATTCTTCCTTTGGTTTGAAGTTTTCAATTTTAACCTGCCAGTGTTTCTCAGGCATTGCATTTTGGTCTGGTTCACTCATTTCACTGAAATAATTTTTCCATTTGTTTAAAACAGCTGAAGTGTCAGGGGGAGGAGGTGGAATGTAACAAAATAGATGACTTTTCTTGTTAACAGCCTTAGACTTTCCTTTGACAGGGCTGGAAAACTCATTTTAATGACACTTTCTAATTAAAGATCCTTTAGAGGTGTTTTTTTTTTTTGTTGTTTTGTTTTTTTTTTGTTTTGTTTTACAGCTTCAGAATTCATGTTTAGAAAAATTCAGGTAAACTCTGGGCCGAGACCTTGAAAGCATGATCGTTTCTTTTAAAGATTTACTGAAGCATTTCATGGAGCATTAAGAGTAAAATTACTGTGGAAGTCTGGGATCACTTTTTCCTTTTACTTTTTTTCAAAAAGGTTAGCTCAGTTTTTAAAGATCAGTGTTTTAGGCATGTGCCAAACACAAAACAGAGTTCTGAAATTTTCTTCGTTTGCTTTCTGCACTTCACTGGGAGGGTGGATAGAGCTTGTGTAATACCCTGTGAATTTAAACAGCTTTTTGTGCCAAGTTCAGACAGCGTGACTCTTGGTATGCGCTCCCAGAAGCCATTCTCAGTTTTAAAGCTGGGTACAGACCAGTACAGATGCCGTGAGGACCAATACAGGATGTGTGGTTGAACTCCTGTAGATGTGGTTGCCTTTTATTTTGGATGGTTAGTGAGCTCCTTATCAGCTTCAAGGTTAGACCAAATTTTTGGGATAAAATGTTGTAAGCATCTGCAGATGGAAGTCTGTGAGGCAGGCTTTTAGCATGCTTCCGTGCTAGAGATGGGTGGTGTGGCATGGGAACAGGTTGCCCAGAGAAGCTGTGGGTGCCCCATCCCTGGGGGTGTTTGAGGCCAGGCTGGATGGGGCTTTGAGCAACCTGATTTAGTGGTAAGAGTCCCTGCCCATGGCAGGGGGGTTGGAAGTGGGTGGTCTGTAAGGTTCCTTCCAACCCAAACCATTCAGTGATTCTGTGGCATTCCTGGGAGTCTCTGTACCATTCTCAGTTAGGCTTTTTGCCAAGCAGTGTAAGTTAGGTGTGATAAATCAGAAGTTTTTTCTTTCCCTGTCGTCATCACCAGCTAGAGCCCATCTGGAACACTGTGCCTGGGTTTGGCCCCTCCAGTACAGGAAAGATCAATTAAACCGGAGTGGGTTCAGTAGAGGTCCATGAAAGTGGTTGGGGTTGGAGCTTTTCTTCTGTGATGAGAGGCCAAGGGAGGTGGATGGGCTCAGCTTGGGGAGATGCCTTGAATGGGGATTAGATCACACCCATAACACTAGCCATCCCACACTTCCAGGGATGTCATCAAGAAGATGAACCTAGGCTACATGGGCATGAGGCAATGGTCATAAATTGAGCAAGAGAGGTTCCTACTGGGTGTAAGGGGGAACCATCCTAGTGAGGATAACTAGGTGTTTGAACAGGCTGCCCAGAGGTCCTGTGTAGCCTCTATCTTTGGAGGTTTTCAGGACTCAGCTGTGTGAATCCCTGACCCTTCAAAGTCTGTGTGCATACTTTCAGCTCCTGCTGTGGGTGTGGTGACTGGATGAACTCTTCTCTGCCTTCTGCAGTTGCTGTGATGGGGCCTTTGTTCTGGGGGGAGACAGCACAGAAAGCTCTTCCACACCCATGGATTTTCCCTGTGTGTTTATTGCTCAGGCATGAATGTAACTGATGAGAGGAGAGGAAATTCAATGCCATGAAAGTGCTTGAGCCCTAACTTTGTGATTATTGTCTTAAGAAACTTTAGTACAGGTATTGTGTCGGTTCCAGTTCCTTGGCAGTGGATCCAGCTGATTCGAGGGTACTGTACTTTGTGCCTGAGTTTGGGAGGCATGGGCTCCACATGAAGTGTTTTCTCTAATCTTTTTTGTCTCTCAGCAAACTATTCAATGTCAGCCTTTTTGTACTGTCTTGCATTATGCCTTTTTTTCTTCTCCTTTTTGAGTAAGGAAAAGTGGCACTTACTGAAATTACTTGCTCCTCTGAGAGTGTTGGACTAGGCTCAAATGGGGCCCAAGAAACTCCCCGCAGCTTAACGGTAATATTAAAGTGATTGCTCGCCAAGTGATTATTATTATTATTTATGGTGCCAAATGTCCTTTGGCGATATAAAAAGTAAAAATGACAGTGACAGGGTGGCCATAGTATATGTAGCCTTTGAAGTGCTATTTGCTTAGAAAATATTAAGGTAGATCTTGGCCAGTCTCCAGTATGATAATATTTAGTAGGAAACTCCATTTTGGTGTTTGGAAACAGGATCTCTTACAGTAAATGTCTTTCCTGTGTTCTATCAGAAGAACAACCATTAGAGTTGGAGAGTTGTATATGTTTTGAATTCTGAAGATGCAGTAAAAAATGATGTTTGTTGGAAGTTTTCTTACTGCATTTGCTGTTGATATTGTGTAAATGCATCTGACTAAAAGTACATATACTTGTTACCCATTGATGTATAAACAATACATTAATTGTTGCTTGATTTAATCCATTTAAACAAAATGTCAGTTTTTGGCCAAACTTAAGATCATAATCTTTTTAATGGAGTTCTTCAGTCATTTCATTTTTTAAGGAAGGCTTTGCAAATAGTTCTCATTATGCATGTGGAGTAGTAAACCCATAATTTCCTTACTTTTCTTCATGTGGCTACATCTATGCTGGGTATTGAAGGGAGAAATCATCTCACTCTCATGCTGTAAAAAGCTAAGAAACCTTCAGCCACTCCAACTGTGAAGACTTTTTTTTTTTTCCCCCAGGGATAACTTGTATTCATGCTTAACTTGTGCTTTGCTTCAGTGCTCACCAGCATATCCTACCCCAGATGACAGAAGCTGATACTAAATAAAAACATGATCCAAAGAAGCACTTGCAGGAATTAAGGTTTAGTCTGTTTTTAAACAACAAACAAAACCCTCCAAACCAAAAGTTTACATAGAAATCTTCACCGGGGAGAACAGGGACTGCCTGTGTAGTAATTGTACTTGGGACTCGTTAGAACTTTACTGCAGGCTAGGCTGATCCTTGCAGTGTCTCAGAGTTGCTTTCTGACCTGAGAGAAAGTCACTTTGTGTCTGGCTAGGCAACAGCCAGGTGTGACTGCAGCTTTTGTAGCATACTTGAGCTCACTTTGAGCTGGGAAGGTTAGGCAGTGCTGCCAGCATGGACAGAACAGGGTGGCATTTAGGACAGGCCATGAGATACCCTTATGTATCTGAGCTGGAGGCTGAAAACCATCCTGCAGGCTTCAGTCTCACCTCTGAGTGTAGTGTGTGAGTGGTTTTGGTTTCATTGGCTACAGCCACAGTGCCAAGCTGGGGATCGATCTAAGTACATCCAGCTGTGGGACGTGCACGCTTCTGTCAACATCCCTGGCTGTTTTCATGGCTGAAAACACCCACATTGTGCCTGGGAATTTTAGTTTAGACTATCTGCTGATGGATTAGACTGTAGTGTGCTAGGATCAGCCATTTGGTCTGCTCAGACCACACAAATGAGTGACTGGGGCTGTGATTAGTGCCATGTGTGCTCAGAGGTCCTGCTTGAGCATTTCTTTAATTTTGCAGTAATTGTCAGGGACCAGACAAGGGCAGGTTGTGCTGGAGGAGAAAGTAAGCCTGTAGGTAGGACAACAAGGCCAACGCAGGCAGTGGCCTTGCTGGTGAGGTACATGGTGAGCAAAGCAGGTTTGGGAACACAAACCATGTTTGGCTACTAGTCTAGACTGCCAGATGGGTCTGTAGTGATGAAGCAGGTCCAAGGTCAGGGAATAAAGTCAAGTGTGTGAGTTAGGGGTCAGGGTCTGGATCAATGAGGTGTTTAGCCAAGGTGGACAAGGCTGCAGGGTGGCCATAACCCAGCTCAGACAGGGGATAAGGACAAAGACTGCCTAAATGCAGCTCCCAAAAGAGGTTTGGGAGAGACCCTGCTGAGGCTTCTGCTGGCTTTTTGTCAAATAGCTGTCTTTAGGGCTGGTTGGGATTTCCCAAAGAGTGCTCTCAGCAGCTGCACCAATGTCAGAGCTGGACCCCAGCACAGGCAGCCAACTCCCGGGAGCAGGGAGAAGGTTCTTGGTCCTGGTACCACCTCCTCTTAGATGCTAACGCAATAAGAGACCAATTAAGAGTTTAAAGTTTAACCTTCTGTAGCTGTGGTTATTAACTTGAAATCAGAACAAATGTCTGTTACTGCGTTAAAGCTCTTAGATTTTAGGTGAGGTCAAAGATAGAAAATTATGCAAGGCTTCCTTCCAGCTTCAGCTCTTCAACACTTTCCCTTGGTGTTCTTTCACTAATATCAATAGAATTACACAATGGCTGAATTGTTCTGTTTCGACTTACTGTGGAAGGTACATTTTTATTGATTTCAGCTGAAAGGAGGAATGGAGCACATTAAAGGTTCTGAAAATGTGGAAGGCTTGCAGAGTTTCCTGCTATGGAGCCATTAGTATAAAAATTAATATACTGGTAAACATCACTGTGACCATACTCAGTGGGAACTGGCTAAATACTTGTGTTAAAGAATGCTTTAATTGAAGTTGTTGTTGTGGTGCATTACAGTAGTGTTCCAGTTGAATGAAACATTAGTACATGCTATTTTCAGAGAAGCTATTTTACAATGATCAGTGTTGGAATTTTGAAAATAACACAGGAAATATATCAACACAAAGGTGTTTTTTTTTTTTTTTTTAAAAAAAAAAAAAGATTTCTGCACTAAAAACAAAACAACCAAACTTTTGTTTCCTGCACAGATGTTGCACAGGTCAATTACGTAAGAAGTTTCCATAAGGGTTCTTATAAGGCAGGAGTGGATCTTGTTGTAAATGCAGTGTGGTGGAGGGCACATTCCAAAAAGTAGAGTAAGGGCTTTTGACTATTGGCTATTGCTTAGCTCTTCAGCACTGAGTGAGTAAGAGCTAAGAAGAAAGGAGAATTAATGAGAGAAGACATAATATTTCTAGTACTGGAAAAAACTCGGATGTACGATTTTGCAGTTCTCTTGTGCAAAAGTTTATAGGCAAATTGATCTAAATAGATGCTTTTTAATATGCAGTAGTATTTGGGCACAAATTTGAGACATTAATTTTTTATTATTCTTAGAATCATAAAATGTATAACTTTGATTTTGTGTTAGCAGCTATAGCAATAATCAAATTGTATTGTTTATGGTGCTCTTTCTGTTTGACAGGATAAAATGGTCCAGTTCTTAAGTGCTCTTTGGTCGAAATACAAAGTTTCAGTGTTGTGAAGAAACAAACATTTGACTTTTTTTTTTTTTTTTTTTTGAAGGACTACATTCAAAGGATGTAGAGGTAAATAATGGCCTCTGTCAGCCTTTCACTTTGGAAAATGTCGAAAGGAACCAGGGCTAAAGATGTGCCTGTGACTGGGTATCTGAGCTTAGTAGAGGGTCATAGTGAATCACTTTGATACCTTATTTGTCCTGTCTTCTTCCTGTACCCATTTGTGGATCTCTAATTTTTTCCACTCCCTATGGTTTTACAGCATCTTACAGAATTTCTTCACTTGCTCTATAAGGTCATCATGTCTTCCTGTTAAGTCTAAAGTTGCTGCCACGACAGTAGCTCCAACATCTGCAGCAGAAAAAATGGAGTTGACCATGGGCTTACTTGGTATGTTTGGTAGCATTATCAGTACTCAGTTGAAGCAGCTCCCTCTGTACACTTGTTACAGATCTTACGACAATACTATATATAAAAGCAGCTTTAGATTTAGTCTTGAAAATAGACTTTTGGAAGAGGATGAGCATAAAGACGGCTCAAGGCCTAATTTTCTTCTCCACTCGTGCTTTTATTCATAGGTCAAGTGCAGCTTGCTTGGGCTGTAAATTTGGCATGGCACAGTGCTGACAACTTCTTTTTCTATGTAACCATGCTCTCATGTGTTGCTATCACTAAAGTAGATAGTGGTCTCTGTCTATTGTGTTCATAGTTTGCTGTGCTAAGTAAAATCATTTTTGAAAGAATGGTACAATTTTTTAAAAGGTACTTTTACCCTCAGGAACACTTTTCAGTCCTGTTTATTCTTAAGTCTTTATAAAAAAAAAAAATAAATAAATCTACCTGCTTATTTAATAGCAGAGTCAGCTGCTCTCTGGTAATTTAATTTCTTTAGAGAGAAGTTAAATTTCCTGTTTGTTTTTTTTTTTTTTTTCCTCTTTTTAAACTAGTATATACTTGTAATTTTGTCTCCCTCTAAATTCTCACATGGCAAATACTTTAAAAACAAGGCAGCCAGTGGTAAAATGTATGTGCTTTGATGTGAGTTTGTGTATTAAATACTTTCCCAGAGAACATACTGTACCTATATGGTTGCATAAGCAACAAATAAGAAAAATATTTTAGAGCTGAGCTGACAGCTGCTAACTGTTTTATTTTTGTCTCTTTCTTGTTAAAACTAGACACTTAAATAGTTTTGGAAGGTACTTGAGAGCTGTAGTATGATAATGTTTTCTGCTGATATTTCCCCCACCAAGTCAAGTCCCAGCTCTTTGGTAAGCTCCTTGAAGGCTTTTTATGATATCTTACAGTGGCGTGAGCTGCCTTTAAAACTTTCCTGTCTGTTGAATGACCTTAGGCTGCAATAGTATGTAATAACAGTCTGAGATCATTCCGTAGAAACAGCATGGGTAGACCTTCTGCATGCCTGTCTGTGAAGAAAAACAATTTTGTGTAGTTCTGAAGAGGTTTTGGGAGCAAACCCCAACTTTTGCCTCCACTGACTTCAGGATAATTCAGTCACTTTCAGTGTTTCAGGACAACCAGGATCTGCAAGCCTCTGCTGCTCCTTTTCCCCTGTGGGCTCCAGGCATGGAATGTGGATCAACAGAAGCATGTCTTTGGAGAACATAAAAATATTTACTAACGTGGAAAAATGGAGATGAAGGAAGGAAGAAGGATGTGTGCGATGAACTTGTTTCAGTGTTGATTACTTCGTTTTCGTGACCTATTTAGCTATGTGGCTGTGCTGGTGTGGATGAAATATCCACTTCATTTCAGTTTAGTAGAAAGTCTTAAATATCCTCCTGTTTGTGAATAAAGCTGAGTTGGTGAGGGCTATCCCTGTTTAAAAATAGCTTTTATAAGCGTGAGCAAATGTTCTGCTGCCTTTGGCAAGTGTAGATAAGTATTTTATTATTTTTTTTTTAATCTGTAAAATGTTTTCTGCACTTTTAACAATGCTCTTTATAAAGACAGAAGGAGCCTATGTTCTTACTTGAAATTCAGTATATATTACTATGTTCTTTACACTTTAGCAAATTAAATTATTTCTCAAAGATCTTTTGGTGTTAAAGTCCATGTCTTCAGTCATCTATTTTAGGCACACAAAATGGTTAAAAAAAATTAAAAAAAATAAATAAATAATAAGCCCTTCACAGATCCAGATCCCGGTGGTTTTGGAAAATTCCATGGGTTTTGTAATACTGGCAGTAACAACCCAGTCTAGACGTGCTCACTTCATAGACAGACATGACACAACAACTGCCAGAGTCAGTCATGGAGGTTAGAATGAAAATCCACTATTTGCACAGCTTCTTTATTAGTAACATAGTGGTTAGTTAATGGATGTGTCTTCAACCTTGGATTGACATGGAACACCAGGGATTAAAAAAGGAAGATGGAAAGCAGCTGAGTACATGATAGGCAAAGAGCGAGGAAGGTCAGTCAACACAGGAAGAAAGGTAATCCCCAATGGTTATTCCTTAAAAGAAATATCCATGTGTTCTTTGCCTTAGAAAATACAAAATAGAAGAGTGGAGGGAGTGTAGGAGTGATGAATGAAACTAGGGAAAAGTGAAGAGAAACAGACCATCTCAGAAGAAGTTTGTTGTTCTTTTACAAAGGACAGGTGACAGCAGCTAAGGCTGGTGAGAGGTTTCCCTGTGTATCACTAAGAACTGCTTTGCAGCTGATCAGTCTCTTTGGAATCTGATACGTGCAGCCTGCATGTGTACTGCCTTTGTGGCCCTTCTACCAGCTCTCTGAAACCCCTGGTGAAATTCTCTTCAACTTCTTCTCTATGGAGAAGCGTCGGAAACAATCTGCTCTCTAACCATGTTATCATATTGCCATTTGCCCAGCTCAAAATAAAAAGCTTCTGAAATGTTTTTGGGATTGCAGTCCTCCAGACACACAACCACCTATTCCCAACCACCATAATGTTTACAAGGCAAAGCTTTTATTGTGTCCTCCCACATAAAGGAAGCAGTGATGGGACAGAGATTCATCCCTAGATGACAATGTTTCTGATTCCAAAACAAACTTTCTCAGAAAATATTTTTAAAACAGGACATTTTCTCCTCTGCAGTTGTTAGTGTGTTGGCTTAGAAACTTTTCTCAAATATTTGTATTAAAACCAAATCTGACATTTTGTCCTAGTAATCTCTCAAGTTACAGAGCGTAAAAAGTTCATGTGCTACTCTTGTCTGTAATGAGGTCTGGTTCTTTAATTTTATTTGCCTTCCTGTTATGTTTTAGATTCCCATATTCTTTCTTTATTGCATGTTTTTCTTCTCAATTCTTGCTTTTTGCGGGGTGGTGGGATGGTGAGGAATGAGAGAGAGAACAAGTGAGGTGTGGTGGACAGCTGAGTCTGGTGCTTGCAGCATGATGCTGCAAGGTTCTAACAAGGTTCCTGATATGAAACCTTAAGCAATATGTGCAGGTACTTGTTTCTATATAGCAACAAACATAAATTAAAAACATAATAATAAAACCTTTATGCAGTACATTGCAGCATCCCAAACTTGAGCTAGTCATATGCAAAATAGTTCAGGTTATATTAGTAACCTATTTGTTGCAGTGAGGTCCCATATAGCACAGTAAATTAGTACACCTTTGGGCTATAGTAGCGCAATGTCTCTGTACCTGGGCAGTCTTATTTAAGAGCTGTCTTCTGTTGTCATCTGCAGAACTGATGATCTTGGAGCATTTTCACTGACAAGGTGTCAACTATTAGTGTAACAACTCCTGCAGGACCTGTTACTGCTGTTGGGTTTAGTTGGTATAGCAGAACATTTGTGCCATATGTGTGGGGAATATCCAGATGACTAAAATCATTTAGGTTCAAGGTAAAGCTTTGGTTCAAAATAAGTACATGGTTTAGTGTATGAGGTTTCAGTTGGCTGTCCCAGAACATAATCAAATGCCTTGGCTCTAAGCTGCCATTCTTGTGAAGCCTCTTTATTAAGCTCTGAAGAAAAAAGAGCTTTAGAATTCTACAGTAAAAGATTTTTTAAGACTAAAATTTAAAGTAGTAGGGTTAGTGTTAAGAAAGCAAAGGCCTGAATATCCAACATATTGATTCAATACAAGTTTTCAGCTCTTTTATTATAGGTGGACATAGTATACCAGGTAAGGACCAGGACCATGTTTGTTTTTCTTGTTTATGCAAAAAATTTGAGAACAGAACTGTTTTATAGTAGACAAGCAGAGCACTGGCCACTGGCAATGTGCTGTGATTTATGATGCACTGTGGTTTCCAGAGTATTGCTTACAGGAAACATGAGTTGAACTAATTCGTCAAAAGCATTAACATTTTCAAACCCAAAAGAGATTTATATGCCATAGTGAACATAATACTTTCATGCCTTTGCTAGTTGAAATTAGGCATGTTCAGGAAAGTGTAAAACTAAAAATCTGTAACACAATACAAAAATAGGTCTTTGTAATGCTTGGTCCCCAAATCTCAGGATTAGAGTTACACTCAGGATAGAGTGGTTTTTGTTTAAGGCCTGTTTGTGGTTACATATCAGAGGACATTCTACTCTTCAAGCTTGGTAGCATTGCACGTTAGAAGTAGAGAAATCAATACATCATCACCCTGAAATAAAATATATTCAAGTTGGCTTTTTATAACCAAATGAAGCTTCTATATTCTGAATAATAATATATAAATAAAAGGAACAGTAACAGTTTTCACTCTTTCCACTGATTTTTCTGGGCTTTGAAATCTAGCATCTGATGTGCTACCTACCTCACTGTGCACATACTTATCTAGGTGGTATTTCAGATGGAAGTCTTCAAAGGTCCAGAACAATTTCCATGGAACATAATACTTTTGATACTGACTTAAAAAAAAAAAAAAAAAATCTTGTTACTTCATGTTATTTTGCTAGGGAAAAAAAACAAAAAAACCAAAAAAAAAAAAACAAAAAACAAGGAAGGGAAAAAATGTGTAAAGAGTTTTGCAGTTCTGTCATTCTTGAGAACTGAATTATTGGGTACTTGTTACTTTTCATCACTTGTACTATATCTGGCAGGTGTGTTGATAATGCAAATTTTCTTATTGTCTTATTTTCCTTCTGTCAATTCAAAGACAGATTTGAACTGAAAAAGTAATTGTTTTCTCCTCTGGACATTATATTAAATAATTCAAGAAGACAGTCTTGCTTGGTGCAGAATTCTAGGATAAAGTTTGATCAGATCCAGTCAATAATTCCTATTTTTTAATGCTATATTTGTAATCTTTAGTGAATAAAACTGTTTTATGAACTGTGTATTGTCTTTAGTCACTCATGTACTCATAGTTTTAAAAGGTGCATTTGAGAAACAGTTGGGCGCATTTTAAGATGTGGTGAGTTAAAACATGATGAGGCAGTGGGCACAAACTGGAATGCAGGAGGTTCAGTCTTACCACCAGGCAGCACTTTTGTACCATGTGGGTGACAGAGCACTGGCACAGGTTGCTAGAGAGGTTACTGAGTTTCCCTCCTTGGAGATCTTCCAAAGCTGCCTGAGCAGGTCCTGGTCAACAAGCTCTTTCTGGCCCTGCTTGAGCAGGGAGGCTTGGACCAGATGGCCTCCAGAGATCCCTTTCAGCCCAACCTTTCTCTGATTCTGTGAGTTTTTGCTGCATTGCACTCAAAAGGCTGATTCAGCAGCTTTTGCTGATGGAGAAGTAGAAAAAATATAAAGACTTCGTGTAGGCATGTACATTAAGTTTATTAAAGGCTGTCTGAAAATTCAAACTGTTGTTTGAAAGTCATTTTTGTCAGAAGAGGATGACCAGAAAGGTGATGTATGTTCTCTGCTGTATTTACCTCACCAAATACCTCTGAATAAGAAAGTCTTGTGCATTGTTTTTCTTAAGGTAGTTTGCAAAAAGTCCTGAAAGACAAAGCACTTTATTACATTTTACATTTGGACAGAATAACAGCGTTGAATGCATTGCTGGCTTTCCTAAATTCCCTTTAATTTCTGTAAAGGTAGTGATAATATATACAGAATCACAGAATTGTCTAGGTTGGAAGAGACCTCAAGATCATTGAGTCCAACCTCTGACCTAACACTAACAAGTCCTCCACTAAACCATATCACTAAGTTCAACATCTAAATGTCTTTTAAAGACTTCCAGGGATGGTGACTCCACCACTTCCCTGGGCAGCCCATTCCAATGCCTAAAATATACAGTATTCCATTTCAATGCCTAAAAATGCACACTATTCCTAAAGTTTATGGACCAAATTCAGTGCTTATGAGCTTAGAAGTAATCTTGATCTATATTTGAGTAGGCATTAGATCTTGTGTTAAATACTGAGCGTGAACAATATGGTGCTTGTTTGATAACTTTAATATATTGAGAATCCAAAATAAGCATGGTGGTAGTTTCTGGTCAGTGTAAGACACTGTGGTCAGTCTAATGTGACATCCCACAGTTGCTTGCCATAGTATAGACCAACACTGAACTACATTCTAGGAAGTGGGAAAAGGTTTTCCTGCCTAAGAAAATTATAGGTATCACTTAAGGGCCAAGGCTTTTGTTTGTAGTCTGTGGTCAATGGCATAACTCGCTTCACTTTCTTAGAACAGCCCAGAAGGAAGGAAGAAGTGGAAGAAATAAAGTTCTGTAGAAAACGTATACGTGTCTAAACATGAGCTTCCCTTCCCCTTCCCCTTCCTCTTCCCTTCCCATGCACAGGCCTAGTCTAGAGAACCTTCATGCATGGGCCATTAATTGCAAACATTACTGCTTCTTTGAGTGAAAACTGCTTGTGAGAGTGGTGCGATCAGCCTCTGAATCTGTATGTTTATCAATTTCAGTACAATTGTTCATCATTATAGAGGAAATGAGGGCTATCAGAACCATTCAGTGATCACTGAAGATTGTTTTCTTTTCCTTCTTGTCCCACAGGTACTTTGTGTCTGCATGTTGACGACAATCCTAGGATGTATATTTGGCCTGAAGCCAAGCTGTTCAAAGGATGGTAACTGACATGTCTTTTATCAAAAATATTTCTAAGCAATTCCTTTTTTTCCCTCTTCTGTAAATTACTTTTAAT